CATCGTCAGGCCCTTTTACCAGAAAATCCCTTCACTGATGAGATAATTCAGCATGTTCACTCACATACATACTCTCTCTCTCTCTCTCTCTCTCTCACACACACACACACACACACACACACACTGCCCTGCACACACCTAAATGTACACTCTCTCCCCACTCTCAGACATTCATACACTCTCACACACACAGTTCTCTCTCTCTCTCTCTCTCTCTCTCTCTCACACACTCATTTTTGTGAATTGTGGGGACATTACATAGGTTGCAATTGTTTTTACACTCTCTCTTACACACACACACACGCACACACACACACACACACAGACGCACACACAGGTACAATCACACTGTTGTTTTCCCTTACACATTATTCAGTCTCACTCACACACACACAAAGACACACTCACACTTTGGGAGTTTTAAAGTTTGATTGCTTTAAAATAAAAAGCTTTAAACTAAACAAGCAAACTAAATCCTGCTTCACAAATTCACTTGATTTTGATTTTATTGTAAAAAAAAAAAACAGGAAAATGTGTATATTACTGTGTTAAATGAAAATCTGAAATATTTTATGGCTTATGGCTATGATTTAGTAATAATTTTAATTTATTTTTATTATGTTTTTAATGAAATTGGTCTTACAGTTCATATTTTCTGTAGTATATTTATTAATTCTGGTACTTTTACCATAAACCAACATCTCAACCATTTGGTAGAGGCTGATATTTTAGAAATAATGTGATGTGTTGAATAAAAATGCACAGATTGTGTTAACTAGCGACATTTGGAGTTAAGAAATGCAATCAAAAAAGAAATTCTATTGCTTTTGTCTTGGTGTGACAGTTAAAGGGGTTTTGTAATAAAATTTTGTCCTTTAATACAGCAGTCAGAAATACGAACTGTGCCCTTAATTTTACCTGCTCAAAGAAAACACTTCCTGGATGTATCAAACAAAACTCATGCACAGAAGACAGCACGAGCATTTACAGCTAATAAACTCATGTCAATATTATCCCGCCTGCTTTTTGAGCGCTGACAGGCGGGTCTTACACGGCTATGATTGGTTATTGTCCTCAACAGAAAGGGCTTTAAAAATATAAGCGCTGTTCACCCATGGCGGGAAGAATACGCGTTTATCACAGGTAATAGACACAGTGGAGAAAACTTGGCACGCTCATGTCTGGATCCACAGCTTTAACAGCTAAGAAGAGAGGAAAAGTTACCTTACAAACTGGCCAGCGGGTCAAATGTCCAAAGTGAGAGAGCGAGAGATAGGCAGAGGTGAAGTTTTACAACGTTTCTCCCTAATAGTACACTAGCGGCTGGTATGCTGTGCCGCCTCGCCCTCGCGCCTCCGTCCTTAGCTATAGTATTGCGACATCGCGCATAGGAGATAAATGACGTCATCACGTAATAACCGGGTATGACCTATTACTGAACTGATATCGATCATTTTGACACCCCTAGTAACGAGTAACGATGCAGCACATAAAAAATCTATCGGAGTAAAAGTATTAAACTCATGTAAAATATGTACTTAAGTAAAAGTGGAAGTAGGAGAAAAAAATAATACTCCAGTAAAGTACAGATACTGCCTTTTAGTACTTAAGTACAGTAGTGAAGTAGTTCTACTTCGTTACTATACATCTCTGCCAGTAAGGACCAGCTTAAACCATCTCATGACCAAAATAACCCATGTAATCCAGCTCAAGACCTGTAAGAACTATATTGAACCAGCTCATGATCAACAAGCAAGAGCCAGGTTAAACCAGCACATGGCCAGTAAAAATCAGCTTAAACTAGCTCAAGACCAGTAAGAACCAGCTTAAACCAGCTCATGACTAACAAAAAACTTAAGTCAGCTCATAACTTGTGGGAACCACCTTAAATAATTTCACAATGACCAACAATAACCTTCTTAAACCAGGTCAGTAAGAAATCAGAACAGTAAGAAACAGATCAAACCAGCTCAAGACCAGTAAGAACCAACTTAAACCAGCCAATGACAAACATTAACCAGCTCAAGACCAGTAAGAACCAACTTAAACCAGCCATTAACAAACAATAACCAGCTCAAGACCAGTAAGAACCATCTTAAAATGGCTCATGATCATCAAGAATTAGTTTAAACCAGCTCATAGACAGTAAGAACTAGCTTAAACAAGGTCAGGACCAGATTAAACCAGCTCATGACCAGTAAAAACCAGCTTAAACCATCTCATGGCCTGAAAGAACCAGCTTAAATCAGCCCAGGACTAGCAAGAGCCAGCTTAAACAAGCAAGAGTACAAAATCAGCAAAAATCAGCTTAAATGAGCAGTAATAACCAGCTTAAACCAGCTCATAACTGACAAAAACATCTTAAATCAGCTCATAACCGGTAAAAAACAGCTTAAACCATCTCATGACCAACAATAACCATTTTAAACCAGCTTAAAACCAGTAAGAACCATCTTAAACCAGCTCATAACCAGTAAAAACCAGCTTAAACCATCTCATGACCAACAATAACCATCTTAACTCAGCTCAAGACCTGTAAAACACATCTTAAACCAGCTCAAAACAAGAACCAGCTTTAACCAACTCATGCGCAACAAGAAACAGTACTAGAGATAGTTTGTTATAAGAACCACTAGACTACAAAAGAGCTAGTTTAAGGGACCAGAAAGAACCAACATATCAGCTTATGATCAGTAGAAACCAGCTTATAATCAGCAAAGAACCAGCTTAAACCAGCCCATGATCAACAAGAACCACTTTAAACCAACAAGAACCAGCTTAAAGCAGTTCATGACCAGCAAAATACCAGCAAGAACTATCATCAAACCCTACCTTACATGGATTTTTTTCTGGGCATTTTTAGGGACTAGGCTATTCGGAATCCAGAATGTAATTAAAATGGCTCTAATTACTGCCAAACATACGTTTTGGCTACCAGACTAAGAAAATCATGTCTTCCTATATTGTATAACAGGGAAGAATCATCAAACGCAAACTAATCGTGTTTCTAATTGATTATAAATATAAAAAATAATGTGAAATCTTCCATTATCAGATGCTATATCTGATGATTGTTTGTTGTTGCTGCTGTGATCTCTCAGATTTGAAATGGACATTCGCAGACCTACATCTGTTGACGTCAGTAACAGTTTTGTCCGAACTCCCGCAGACACGTTTTGTCCATCAGAGTTGATGTTTTAGTTTCAGGCCGTCTGTTTGGAATCATTCGTCCTGTACTATTGCACAAGCCATTAGGAAAACATGACTAGTTCATTCGGTTTAGCAAAACAAAATGACTCACCTAAATAAGAGCCACAAGCACAATCATCCACCATTGTGTTTTTCTCCCCAGGATGAATTGTCGCTCTTCGTCAACAAAAGTTAGATCTTGTTTTTTTTCAATTGCAACATATGTGCATAAACGTCAGTGAAACACATTTACCAAATTAGTTTCTTGACACGCGTTAAAGTGTTGTGATTTTAGTCATAGTTGAGAATGTGTTTGTACATCTAGATTAACCAGTGAACCGATTTCATCTTGAAACATTGCAAATATTTAAATAATTATGCAAAGTATCCAAACAAACAATTGTCAGAATAGTTTTTTTATAATTATGTCCAATAGTTGTAATGCATAAACAGTTAACTGCTTGAAAAAAAAATCATACTTATTGTTCAGATGTTACGCTACTTTCCCTGGAATTAATACGTTCACTGTCTTGAACACATTGGATGGACACGTCTTTTTATTTCCATTTTTTTTTGCAGTATATTATTTTTCAGGTAAAATCGCTGCTTTGGATTGAAACAGCTATCCTAGAAGTTCAATTCTGTACAAATTATTAGTTGACCTGTTTTAATGCGCATTTTGAATTAGCGCATCAGTAACGAGTAATGAAAGCCTAGAGCGCTGTCTGCTGTTAAAAACTAGCATAGAGCACCATCTGCTGTTTAAAACTAGCCTAGAGCGCCATCTGCTGTTAAAAACTATCCTAGAGCGCCATCTGCTGTTTAAAACTAGCCTAGACCACCATCTGCTGTTAAAAACTAGCCTAGAGCGCCATCTGCTGTTTAAAACTAGCCTAGAGCGCCATCTGCTGTTTAAAACTAGCCTAGAGCACCGTCTGCTGTTTAAAACTAGCCTAGAGCGCCATCCGCTGTTAAAAAATAGTCTAGAGCGCCATCCGCTGTTTTAAACTAGCCTAGAGTGCAATCTGCTGTTATAAACTAGTCTAGAGCGCCATCTGCTGTTTAAAACTAGCCTAGAGCGCCATCTGCTGTTTAAAACTAGCCTAGAGCACCATCTGCTGTTAAAAACTAGCCTAGAGCACCGTCTGCTGTTTAAAACTAGCCTAGAGCGCCATCTGCTGTTAAAAAATAGTCTAGAGCGCCATCCGCTGTTTTAAACTAGCCTAGAGTGCAATCTGCTGTTATAAACTAGTCTAGAGCGCCATCTGCTGTTAAAAACTAGCCTAGAGCGCCATCTGCCGTTAAAAACTAGCCTAGAGTCTAGAGCGCCATCTGCTGTTAAAAACTAGCCTAGAGCGCCATCTGCTGTTAAAAACTAGTCTAGAGCGCCATCTGCTGTTAAAAACTAGCCTAGAGCGCCATCTGCTATTAAAAACTAGTCTAGAGCGTAATCTGCTGTTAAAAACTAGCCTAGAGCGCCATCTGCTGTTAAAAACTAGTCTAGAGCGCCAACTGCTGTTAAAAACTAGCCTAGAGCGCCATCTGCTGTTAAAAACTAGCCTAGAGCGCCATCTGCTATTAAAAACTAGCCTAGAGCGCCATCTGCTGTTAAAAACTAGCCTAAGCATAAAAATTCACTGTAATTTGTTGAATCAGTCTCGATGTACATCACCACCAGGGATGTGCATTGCTTTTTTAACAATTCAACAGACCCTTTCTAATAACTTAACTTATTCGTTGATATTTTGAATTACTCCTTAAGTGATTCATTTGACTCCTGGAAAAAATCGTGATGTGATAATTTTGCCGTATCGCCCACCCTTACCTCCAGGTTCCCGGTTCCTGGTGCTTCCTCAACATCAGCTCTGCTCCTCTGGATATGACGTTCGGTCTGATCTTCTCGCTGGTGGGTTTGGCGTCTCTGGCCGTGTCGTTCCTGCTGAACACTGTGAGCGTGGTCACATTATTACGGGTGTGTTGTGGAGCCGACAGCACTCAGAGGAGGCGCGACTACGAGGTGGAGATGATGGTGCAGCTCATCTTGATCATGGTGATCGCCTCCATCTGCTGGTGCCCTCTGCTGGTGAGTGGTGGAAAACTGAACACAATCAACATCTAATGCAGTGTTTCTCCACCACGTTCCTGGAGGACCACCCGCACTGCTTCTTTTGGATGTCTTCTATGTGTGTCACACTTATTACAGGTCTTTCAGCCTCTGCTAATGAGCTGATGATCTGAATCAGGTGTGTTTGATTAAGGAGACATGGGCTGCGTCCGAAACCGCCTACTACTCAGTAGGTACTGCATTTAAATTTAAACGTACTGCTCGGCCGTTAGAAAAGTGCGTTCTATACAGTATGAATGTGAAAAGTATGAATGAAATTCGGACGTACTACATCCGCCATTTTGACATAGTCACGTGACGTACCTGCGTCATTTAACTCCCATTCACGTACCTTAACTCCCATTCATGAATTCGCTCGTGGGGCATTATGGGATAGCGCAGCGTGCATGGGATGCGCACTCCAGAATCTCGCCGGAAGTAGTAAGTCATCCGGGTACTTCTCGCATAGTTTTTCGAATTCTATGAATTCGGACATACTACTCGGCTCGCATACTGATTTTAGCGTACTGTATAGTATGGAAGTATGCGGTTTCGGACGCAGCCATGGAAAATGTGCAGAGCTGGTGCTCCTCCAGGAACGAGGTTCCTGCATTCATATAAAAAAAATGTTTTCGATATCTGGGATGCTGTGAAAAAGTGAAAACTGTCTTTGAAATTTAGCAGTGAGATTTAAAAAACTCTTGAACTTCTTGAAAATGTTTAAAAATGCAAAAAAAAAAAAAAAAGAAAAGAAAAAGAAAACTTTTAAAACAAAAAACAAAAAAACAAAAAAGCTGTACTTGAAATCTAATATGCGTTTAAAGTATGAAAAATGTCGTTTTTGTCTATTAGTGAGCTTTTAAAAAATTTGAATGAAAATATGGTATGCTCTTAAAGTGCAAAAATTGTTTCTTGAAGTCTATGGGCCCTATCATACACCCGGCGCAATGTGGCGCAAGGTGCGGCGCAATTCGTCTTTTGCAAGTTTCAGCTTGGCGCAAGAGTCGTTTTGAGGCGTTGCGCTAGGCTGTTTAAATAGCAAATGCATTAGCGCTCATATGTGCACCCATAGGCGTTCTGGTCTAAAAAGGAAGGCGTTCTGAGGCGCACTGCTGGCGCATTGCTATATTGAGAGCGAAAGTGAAAGTAGATCGATTATCTCTCATTCTCACGCAGTAGATGCTCTGTTTAACAGTTTTCTGTTAAAAAAAACTGTTAACTGTTTGCTAGTGAAATGCTCAGTTTTTCCAATTAGACTTACTTTACGTCCTGTAAATAGCGAATGCGCTAATGGCGCGACGCAGCTGGCTCTTAAAGGGAATGGGAGATGAGACTCTAATTGGTTTATTCTCAAAACACACCTATAACTCATTAAGAAAATAAACTCAACCCTTTTAGACCATGCGTTAAAAACGCGTTCTGACACGCCCTGCGTTTGCGCCCTGCGTTTTGCGCTCTGCGCATGGACCGTCAAAATAGAGCCCTATGAGTGAGCTTTTAAAATAATGACAATTGTTTTGAAATTTAACATGCTCTTATTATGTGAAACATGTCATGAAATCTAGTAGTGTGTTTTTAGAAAAACCAAAACTTCTTGAAAAGTCTCAAAATGTGAAAAACGAAACTGTTCTTAAAATCTAGTACGCTTTTAAAATGTGAACATTTGTCTTATATTCTAGTGTGCTAGAAAGCTGTTAAACTACAGGAAAACAAATTTTAATCTAGTAGTAGGCTGTTCTTAAAATCGTGTACACTTTTAAAATACTAAAATTGTTTCTTGGTGAGTTTTAAAAAAAATTAAAACTATTCTTAAAATTTAGTACGCTCTTAAAATGTGAAACATGTTTTTTGAAATCCAGTACTGTGCTTTTAAAAGACGAAAACTGTTCTTGAAATCTAGTACACTTAAAAATGGAAAGATGTGTTCAAAGTCTAGTACTGTGCTTTTAGAAAAGCAAAACTTGAAGTTTATTACGCTCCTAAAATACAAAATCTTTTTCCTGAAATCTAAAAAAAAAAAAAACTGTTCTTGAAATGTATAAAGCTCTTAAAATAAATAAAGATGTTTTTGTTTTTGAAGTCTAGTAGTGACCTTTTAGAGAAGCGAAAACTGTTCTTGAAATCTAAAAAAAACTTTTAAAATACAAAAATGCTTTTTAAAAATCTAGTAGGAAGCTTTTTAAAAATTAAAACTTCTTGAAATCTTGTATACTCTTAAAATGTGAAAATTGTTTCTTAACACCAAGTTATGAGTTTAAAAAAATAAAAATAAAAACTGTTCTTAAAATCTGGTACGCTCTTAAAATGAGAAACATGTTTTTTTAAATCTAGTCTTGTGCTTTTAAAAGAGGAAAACTGTTCTTGAAAACTAAAAAGCTTTTAAAATGCTAAATAAATGTATGAAATTTATTAATGTGCTTTTAGGAAAGCAAAAACTGTTCTTGAAGTTTATTACGCTCCTAAAATACAAAATCTTTTTCCTGAAATCTAAAAAAAAAACTGTTCTTGAAATGTAGAAAGCTCTTAAAATAAATAAAGATGTTTTTGTTTTTGAATTCTAGTAGTGACCTTTTAGAGAAGCGAAAACTGTTTCCTGAAATCTAAAAAGCTTTTAAAATGCAAAATATATTTATGAAATCTATTAGTGTGCTTTTAGAGAAGTGAAAACTGTTCTTGAAATCTAAAAAACTTTTAAAATACAAAAATGCTTTTTAAAAATCTAGTAGGAAGCTATTAAAAATTAAAACTGTTCTTGAAATCTTGTATACTCTTAAAATTCGAAAATTGTTTCTTAACACCAAGTTATGAGTTTTAAAAAAAATAAAATAAAATAAAAACTGTTCTTAAAATCTTGTGCGCTCTTAAAATGTGAAACATGTTTTTTAAATCTAGTCTTGTGCTTTTAAAAGAGGAAAACTGTTCTTGAAATCTAAAAAGCTTTTAAAATGCAAAATAAATGTATGAAATCTATTAATGTGCTTTTAGGAAAGCAAAAACTGTTTTTGAAGTTTATTACGCTCCTAAAATACGAAATATTTTTCCTGAAATCTATAAAAAAACAAAAAACTGTTCTTGAAATGTAGAAGGCTCTTAAAATAAATAAAGATGTTTTTGTTTTTGAAGTCTAGTAGTGACCTTTTAGAGAAGCGAAAACTGTTTCCTGAAATCTAAAAAGCTTTTAAAAGGCAAAAACTGTTTCCTGAAATCTAAAAAGCTTTTAAAATACAAAAATGCTTTTTAAAAATCTAGTAGGAAGCTTTTTAAAAATTAAAACTGTTTTTGAAATCTTGTATACTCTAAAAATGCGAAAATTGTTTCTTAACACCAAGTTATGAGTTGTTAAAAAAAATAATAAAAACTGTTCTTAAAATCTTGTGCGCTCTTAAAATGTGAAACTTGTTTTTTTTTATCTAGTCTTGTGCTTTTAAAAGAGGAAAACTGTTCTTGAAATCTAAAAAGCTTTTAAAATGCTAAATAAATGCATGAAATGTATTAATGTGCTTTTAGGAAAGCAAAAACTGTTCTTGAAGTTTATTACGCTCCTAAAATACAAAATCTTTTTCCTGAAATCAAAAAAAAAATGTTCTTGAAATGTAGAAAGCTCTTAAAATGAATAAATAAAGATTTTTTTGTTTTTGAAGTCTAGTAGTGACCTTTTAGAGAAGCGAAAACTGTTTCCTGAAATCTAAAAAGCTTTTAAAATACGAAAATGCTTTTTAAAAATCTAGTAGGAAGCTTTTTATCAATTAAAACTGTTCTTGAAATCTTGTATACTCTTAAAATGTGAAAATTGTTTCTTAACACCAAGTTGTGAGTTTAAAAAAAAAAACTGTTCTTAAAATCTGGTACGCTCTTAAAATGTGAAACATGTTTTTTTAAATCTAGTCTTGTGCTTTTAAAAGAGGAAAACTGTTCTTGAAATCTAAAAAGCTTTTAAAATGCAAAATATATGTATGAAATCTATTAGTGTGCTTTAGGAAAGTGAAAGCTGTTCCTGAAATCTAAAAAAACTTTTAAAATACGAAAACTGTTTCCTGAAATCTAAAAAGCTTTTAAAAGGCAAAATAAATGTATGAAATTTATTAGTGTGCTTTTAGGAAAGCAAAAACTGTTTCTGAAATGTAGAAAGCTCTTAAAACGGGAAAGATGTTTTTGTTTAGTTGTGAGCTTTTAGAAAAACCAAAGCTGCTCTTGAAATCTAAAAAGCTTTTAAAATACAAAAAGGTTTTTTGAAATCTAGAAGAAAGCTTTTTAAACATTAAATACAGTTTTTTAAACTCTAGTACACTCTTAAAATGCAGGAAAAAAAAGTTGAAATCTGGTGGGCTTCTAATATATGCAGCTTACTGTGTAGGAACATTCTTAAGTGCACTAAAACGGCAGAAAGTCATCTTGTACGTTGCTTCAGTGTACTCGACTTGATGTTCTGTAAATCCAGAATCATTTCAGGTCCAGATGTCGCAGCATCTGCTCTGAACTCTCATATTGAAGGGCACTCCTTTAATGGCCTCAATTGTCCGGGACGCTGTTTTTGAGCATTCGTTTATCTGTGAACGCTGCGAGACACAGGTGCCGTTTCACTCCTCAGAAAGCACACTAACAGCTTTTCCACTCAGGAAACTGTCTGCTTTTCTCAACTTGAGGAGTTTCATGTGAGAAATACTGATAAGACTGAGGGCAAAAACCATTTCCTGTTTAAAGGGAAGAACAGGAAGTGCTCGGCAAACACGCACACGACGTACTGTATTTATAACAAAACTGAAACTTAAAGTTAGCCAATTGTGTGCTGGATTAAATGTTTCTTCAAATAAAGCCACTTTGTTAAAGGTTGTAAACCATTGTGTCACATTTAAAGCATTTTTCTTCTTTAAATACCGATTATGCACAGATTTTCGTTTACAAATGCTTTTATATATTCTGTTTAGATCGATATTAACTACGTAAATAGATTCACTGGTCGCACATTACAATAAAGCTTCATTAGTCAGTGTATTTTATAATGTGAACTAAGAATACTGTATATATTGGTATGTAGACACACTCACCGGCCACTTTATTAGGTACACCTGTCCAACTGCTCAATTTTTTAATCACATGACAGCAACTCAATGCATTTAGGCATGTAGACATGGTCTAGATGATCTGCTGAAGTTTAAACTGAGCATCAGAATGGGGAAGAACGGTGATTTAAGTCACTTTGAATGTGGCATGGTTGTTGGTGCCAGACTGGCTGGTCTGAGTATTTCAGAAACTGCTGATCTACTGGAATTTTCACGCATAAACATCTCTGGGGTTTACAGAGAATGGTCAGACAAAGAGGAAATATCCAGTGAGCGGCAGTTCTGTGGGCACAAATGCCCTGTCAGAGGAGAATGGCCAGACTGGTTCCAGCTGATAGAAAGGCAACAGTAACTCAAATAAGCACTCGTTACAACCGAGCTCTGCAGAAGAGCATCTCTGAACACACAACACGTCCAACCTTGAGGCGGATGGGCTACAGCAGCAGAAGACCACACCGGCTGCCGCTCCTGTCAGCTAAGAACAGGAAACTGAGGCTACAATTCACACAGGCTCACCAAAACTGGACAATAGAAGATTGGAGAAACGTTGCCTGCTCTGATGAGTCTTGGTTTATGCTGCCACTTTTGGATGGTCGGGTCAGAATTTGGCGTCAACAGCATGAAAGCATGGATCCATCCTGCCTTGTATCAATGGTTCAGGCTGGTGGTGGTGGTGTAATGGTGTGGGGGAGATTTACTTGACTCACTTTGGGCTCATTAGTAATAAATGAGCATCGTGTCAACGCCACAGCCTACCTGAGTATTGCTGCTGACCATGTCCATCTCTTTATGAGCACTTTGTACCCATCTTCTGATGGCTACTTTTCCAGCAGGATAACACACCATGCCATAAATCGCAAATCATCTCAGACTGGTTTCTTGAACATGATAATGAGTTCACTGCACTCAAATGGCCTCCTCAGTCACCAGATCTCAATCCAATAGAGCACCTTTGGGATGTGGTGGAACGGGAGATTGGCATCATGGATGTGCAGCCCACAAGTCTGCTGCAACTGCTAATCATGTCAATATGGACCAAGATCTCTGAGGAATATTTCCAGTAGCTTGTTGAATCTATACCACGAAGGAATTAAGGCAGTTCTAAAGGCAAATGGGGGTCCAACCCGGTACTAGTAAGGTGTACCTAATAAAGTGGCCGGTGAGTGTGCACATATATATATATATATATATATATATATATATATATATATATATATATATATATATATATATATAATGTAAAATATTAGGTAAATTAAAGACACAAATGATGACAATTAAATGTTTAATATAAACTTCTGCCTTTATAAAAATGTCTCTAAATAAATATAAATAAACTTTTTAATTATTTAAAATATTGTTTTACATTTAATTAAGCAAAGCCATGCTATTTAATATCTGTATCCCATATTTTCTTTGTAGCAATAAATATTCAATCTGTAATATCTTGGCAGAAACTTTCAGTGATCAGTGTGTGCAGTGTGCACTGTGAGAGTGTGTGTGTGTGTGTGTGTGTGTGCGGTTTTTAAAATGTGTATTTGGTCGAGTAAATGCTCTGCAAAGGGTCAATAATTAAGAAATGCCTAGCTCACTATACCACTATGGTTGTGTTTGCTGTATTATACTGAAAGTGTTGCTACTTTGGACAAATTCCCACAAAGCCTCAACAACAACAACAAAAAATCAGCCGATTTCATGCTAAAAGAAGCTTTCTGCTGTCTTAATGTGCATTTTATTTCCAACATCTTTCATTATTTGTGTTGTGTATTTCACTATAACAACTTTAATATTCATCATAATATAAAATAAAACCCAAAATAAACAAATAAAAGTGTTGTTTATAAATGTTTTATTGCATTTCACTTGTGTGCGTTTCTTGAGATTCACCTGATGTTTAGTAAACATTCCTGCCTTTGGGGTGAATATATTTAGCCTCATCCTGATGAAAGCTTTTATTACGTTCCTGGAAACTGTGTCTGTCCAACATCCCCAGACGAAACACTCTGGAGATTCTCATTGGAGAAAGCCATTAGTTTTCATAAACATGTCGAGATGATGAAGGCTGTGGGGGGGGGGGGGGGGGGGGCGCAGTGTTTACGTCATCGTGTTTATTTAATGGAGTGGAGTTCAAGTGTTGGGCTCGTGTTCGGTGTTTGTTCTTGCATTTCTCTCACACATGCTCATTGTTTTTCCTCTAACAGGTGTTTATAGCGCAGACCGTGCTGTCAGGAAGTGAGCTCGATGTTCGATACCTGCTGCTCTGGCTGCGCTTTGCGACAGGAAATCAAGTCCTGGATCCCTGGGTTTACATCCTGTTCCGACGTGCCATACTGAAGCGAGTCGCTCCCAAAATGGATTGGTCCCGCGGATCCATCGTCAGCCTTTACCCAACGCTCTCTACGTCATTTCGCAAACTAACTCGAGCCTCTCTTGGGGGAACGCTTGACCGTCTGGATCACATTCGGCCAAATCAATGCATTGTCAGACAAGAGGATACACCTTTACCTGTGCTGGACACCTCTGCAACTTCCGTTTAGCAAATATTGACTCTACGGAGCCTATTGCATATTTGGTGGAATGCATAAGTCGTGTTTTTTTACTAGTCTCATCCCAGCGCTGGTATCGTTTTCCATCATGCACCATGTTGTTTAAATGGCAAATGCATTTGCACTCATTGGTGCGCCCATATAGGCATGCTGGTCTGAAATGGAGGCGCATTGTTGATGCATTGCTATTTGTGCCATTGATCAACTGAAAGCTTGTCTAGTCAGTTAGTCAGTGGCAGTTTTTATTTTGTTGTTGTTGTTGTTATTTAAAGCATACCTCTTCAACCCTCCCGTTATTCCGGGGATTCTCCCGTATTTTACAGTTCAATCCCGCTATCATCCTGTAAAGGTATTTTCCCGTATTTCTCCTGTCCTTTTTCTGAAGGGTGGCAATAAACATTTAAGAGACGATCCTCCCTATACGCAACCCATACCACCGAACCACCAGGGGTCGCCCCTTGCTCTCGAATGTGAGTCTGTGGTGTGTTTTCGCTTTGTTTAGGCATGATAACACTTTGAAATAAATGTAAAAATGGCGGGATTCCCTTTCCTGTTTATTACAGGTGCCGTCAACCCTTCATATGCAATCCTCTAATCTGTCATATAGCAGTGCGTGACTGTCAGCTGACGCGCTCCATAGTGATAAATAGCCGCTGTTTCCCAGATTCTGTACACGCGATTTGAAGCGGAGCGAATGTCTGGGTTTTGGAGGTGTGTTCAAACAGGCATACACAGATAATTAACAATAATAATATCTGAAGATGATCTTGGTCGGGTTTTTTTCCAAACACTACTAATTTCGTCCTAAATGAGCATAAAACGTTGGAAAAAAAAGTGATACCTCTGTTATTTAATGTAATCAAACTAAATAAATAAATACATAATTCATTGCTCTTTAATCAGAATGTGTAAGTTATAGTGAAAAAATGGCTAATGAGATAAGATAGCTTGATTCTATTTCATTATAATAGCTATCACTTTAAATAAGCTAAACTGTTTGCTTGTTTATTTGCTGCTAATTTATACTATTTATGGGGGGGGGGGGCTGTATCTCTTATTATGGTGGGCATATCCTTTATTTTCACACTCAATGTTGACAGGTATGATTTAAAGAGTGCAATAGTAATACGCCAGTCCGAAACGCGCATACATTTTGCTTATTACACACACAGGGATGCGCACAGCACGTCGAACATCTTTAAATATGAAAATGAAAGGATTCAAATGTAAAAGATTGTTATTGTCTACATAAATATGAAAACCGCTACCTCCTTCCATGCTGCCTCCACCTCAGAGAGCTTTGGTCAATTTGGCTGGTTCTGTAGATGTCGATTCTGTGCATGAGCAGATCCGTTTACTCAATAGTTCAACGTTCAGTTTTTCCACTTACAAAATCAGAGAGAGATGAGACTCTTAAAAGTTTATTGCACTTCATGCCCAAAACACCCATAACTCATTATGCGAATAAGGACAACCCTTTTAAACCATGCGCAAGGTGCGACAACTATTTTTCCAATCGTTAAAATAGCAAGTAGATTCGTACTTGCCCTTCGTAAGTGCACCTGCGTCATGTCAAAATAGAGCGCTACTTATAACATTTAAAGATCTCATGCAAAGGTCTGATTAGGGTCAATTTATCAAGCTGGCCAATGGGACACTGGAACTTTAAGGACGCTGTTCAAAAAACAAAAACTTGCAGGCTGGGCTCTTTTGGAAAAACTGTATACCCAACAAAAGCCAGACAAGATGATGCATATTAACAAATCCTGACTCTACTTCTGTAACAATTACAAGTCTCATGGTAAGGTCTGATTGGGGGTCAGATTATCAAGCTGGCCATTGGGACAGTGTTCATGGAAAATGTGCAGACTAGGCACTTTTGGGAAAAATGGAGTGTTCAACCAAAGCCAAACAAGCAGATGCAAATTTACCTGTGCTTCATTTAACAAATGAAAACAATGGAAATGTTCCTGCAAATGTCGGATTTGGGTCAAATGACCAATCTGACCTATGAGACACTGAGGTCGTGACCAATGTACACTGATAGTGAAACAATTAAACTCACAGAATGAAAACTGTGACATTCAACCAAAGCAAGACAAGTAGATGCATATTGAACAAATACTGACTCTACTTCTGTAAAAGTCTCATCGAAAAGTCTTGTTTTGGGCCAAATGGGCACCCCAATGTGACATTGGGACCAAAACCAAAGAGGCGGTTAAGGGAAACAAACATAGAAACTTGCAGACTGAGCTCTTTTAAGAGTTTTTACTCACTTCCAAGAAATACAGACTTAAAACAACTGTTAGGATAATGTCCAAACAAAGCCATATAAACTTACCTGTGCAGAACACCTTGTATCTTGATTCGCTTTCGATATCAATAAAAGGTCTCATGCAAAAGTCTGATTTGGGCCAAGATGATCAATTGGACACAAACAGTGCTGGTATAAATCTCATCTTAGGTAAACTGTGCAGTTTTAACTCAACTTCCAGATCTACAGTAGTCAACATTTGATGTGGATCAAAACGTTCTTTAAGTGTCCTAAGACTAGAATGGGTCTTGTTCAACAGTGCGACTTTGGTGAAAGGTTGTGATCCTTTTCAAATGTTGACTACTGTATACCTTTGGGAACTTTCTTTCTCTGACAGCCAAGAACTTTGTTGAACAGGCTGAAGACGTTTACTATATAATTAAGATTCAGACTTACATGTGCTAGAAAAGAGACAAACAAAGCTAGACAAACAGATACACACCCTATCATTGCAGAACAACTGTATCTTGTTCCAATTCGCAGTCAAGGAAATGTAATGATTAAATGTCCCATAGGGTCGGATTTGCCACCAAATGTTGGTCATGTGTCATCCTTATTGTTGATGACTCTTAGGCAAAAGTTAACAGCCGAGAAACTCTTGTTGGACACATTCAAGAAGCTCACGTTTGAGTTGTAGACATGCCAACTCATGTGCACTTGAAAAGAGACACTGTTCAAGAACATGTACTGAAACTTCCAAACTGAACACTTTTCAGTTTTGGCTGGCCTCCCAAGTTTACTCTTTTTTTTAGTCTTGTCAAGCAAACTCACGTGTTTAAATGTCAGCTATTTGAATAATGTCCGACCAAAGCTTGACAAACAGATACACCCTATCCCTGCTGAACAACTGCATCTTGTTCCAATTGGCCAAGGAAATGCATGTAACTTCAACTTCTGTAATAATAATAATAAAGGTAATAATTCCTTGCATTTATACAGCGCTTTTCTGGACACATTTTTGGGGGGGAATCTCCTCATCCACCTGGATGACGTGACGTCAGCCATATTGTGCCAGACTGCACACCACACACCAGCTGATTGGTGGAGAGAGGAGTGAGGAAGCCAGTAATGATATGGGGATGGTTAGGAAGCCATGACGGACAGAGGCCAGTGGGCAAATTTAGGCAGGATGCCCTACTCTTTTTCGAAGGACAGCCTGGGATTTTAAATGACCACAGAGAGTCAGGACCTCGGTTTCACGTCTCATCAGAAAGACGGCGCTCACTGAGCAGTATAGAGTCCCCTTCTCTATACTGGGGCATTAGGACCCACACAGACCGCAGGTTGAGCGCCTCCTGCTGGCCTCACTTACACCACTTCCGGCAGCAACCTAGCTTTCCCATGTGGTCTCCCATCAAGGTACTGACCAGGCACAGCCCTGCTTAGCTTTAGTGGGAGTTCCATGTGAGTTCAGTGTCAGGGCCGGTGCATCCATAGAGGCGACCTAGGCGGCCGCCTAGGGTGGCAGTATAGAGAGGGCGGCGTTCGCGACACCTCCCTTACCACCCGCTTCCTCAGTTATGTCCGCGACACCTCCCTCACCACCCGCGTCCTCACAGTTATATTCGCGCATAGGCGACAGAATAGAAAGGGCGGCGCCAGGGACACCTCCATCAGCTATGCCTGTCCTCAGTTATATCCACGCATAGGGCGGCAGAATAGAGGTCCGCGACACCCGCGCATCCTCAGTTATATCCGCGCATAGGGCGGCAGAATAGACAGGGCGGCGTTCGTGACACCTCCCTTACAAACCGTGCGTCCTCAGTTATATCAGCACAGGGCAGCAGAATAGAGAGGGCGGCGTCCGTGACACCTCCCTTAGCACCCGCGCATCCTCAGTTATATCCGCGCATAGGGCGGCAGAATAGACAGGGCGGCGTTCGTGACACCTCCCTTACAAACCGTGCGTCCTCAGTTATATCAGCACAGGGCGGCAGAATAGAGAGGGCGGCGTCCGTGACACCTCCCTTAGCACCCGCGCATCCTCAGTTATATCCGCGCATAGGGCGGCAGAATAGAGGTCCACGACACCCGTGCATCCTCAGTTATATCCGCGCATAGGGAGGCAGAATAGAGAGGGTGGCGTCTGTGACACCTCCTTCTGCACCCACGCGTCATCAGTTATATTCGCGCATAGGGCAGCAGCATAGAGAGGGCGGCGTCCATGACACCCCCTTCAGCACCCGTGCATCCTCAGTTATATCCGCGCATAGGGCAGCAGAATAGAGAGGGCGGCGTCCGTGACACCTCCCTCAGCACCCGCGCATCCTCAGTTATATCCGCGCATAGGGCGGCAGAATAGAGAGGGCGGCGTCCGTGACACCTCCCTCAGCACCCGCGCGTCTTTAGTTATATCCGCACAGGGCGGCAGAATAGAGGTCCGCGACACCCGCGCATCCTCAGTTATATCCCCACATAGGGCGGCAGAACAGAGGTCGCGACACCTCACTTCATTTTCATAACCGGTTACTTTCGTTTTCACATTGGGGTTGAGGGCGGGGTGATCTTCCTCTACCTAGAGCGGCAGTTCAGCTTGCTCCGGCCCTGTTCAGTGTCTCATATAAAAGTCCGATTTGGCATCAAAAGTTGGTCAAGTGTCATCTGTCCCTCTCTTTAGGAAAAAGTTAACAGACAAGAAACTCTTGGACACATTTAAGAAGCTCACACTTGGGCTCTACTTGAAAAGAGACACTATTCAAGAAAATGTACAGAAACTTGCAGACTGAAACTTTCCAGTTCTGGCTCGCTTCCCAGATATACACTCCCCTATCCCTTGCTGATGACACTACGAGAAGCGCACACTTGGTTAAAATTCCATCCCTTTGGATTATGCCTGCCAAAACCAGACAAGAGGACACGACCTTACCTGTGCTGAACACCACTGCATCTTGTCCCGTTTCGGAAATGTAGACTTGCTTGCAGCTTCTACTTCTGTAATGATTAAATGTCTCGCTGTCAGAGATGCTGACAGTCCACCCTGGCCAAGAAACTCTTATTGGACACATTTCTACAGTGTTGGCTCGCTTCCCAAACATACGCTCAACTTTTCCATGCTGATAAGTTCCATGCATTTGGTTTAAACGGCGTCCATTTGGATTACATCTGGCCTGTTAGACATGAGCATTTGCCCATACCCGTGCAGAATTCCACTGCATCTTGTCCCATTTTGCAAATGTGGCCATGCATGTAGCTTTTGATTCTGTAATGAACAAATGTTTTAAAAAGATCAAGTGTGACACCAAATGTAGTGCATATCCCATCTTACTGATGCGACCCTTCATGAGATTTGCTCACTGCCAATTTGGCCAAGAAACTCTTGTTGGAAACATTCAAGAAGTGCATGTCTGAGCTGTGTAGATGTTTGTAAAATCCCTTGTACTTTTGTAGGGATGCCTTTGTATGCTATTGTAAACTGTACAACATAAGTGAAAAGTTGGGAGGGGCTTGGTTTTAACAACTTGCCAGTGATTGGATGATCTGAAAAGTGATGGTTGGTTGAATGGGAGATGCTGGAAAATAAGTGTTTGGTGATGTCAATTTGGCGGTGGAACCTTTGCATAATAGAGCCCAGCAGTGTATTTTTTCATTTATTTTACCCATTGGGTGTATTTGGGGGGGGGATCAATACATAAGGATAAAAACAAACCATTAGAAAGTGATTTAAAGCCATAAATGAACTGACAGGTTGGACAAAGGTGCAAAGTTGTGTGCTTAATGGCTTCAGTAAGAACATACAGTAGAGACTCGCAAACTGGGCTCGTTTTGGGAAAACTAGCATTTTGGCTCAATTCCCAGACATTTCCTTGCTGATAAGACGATGAGGACCACACACTCCCTCGAAACGTCATCAAAACTCTTTGACTGCAAAGCTGATTCTGCTTTACCCTCTGTGTCTTGTGTTTTGGGGGTTCAACGATGATCGTTTCTTGCGCAACAAGCCAGTTATTCATTCGTGAGATATCTGAAGAGTTATGCTGTCATAGGTATCTTGTGTTTATACCATATGTAAACCCAAGCACTGTTACATCGAACTCATTACTGTTTGGATAGCTTCGGCCAGTTGTCCTCTCAAGCATCTTTGGTAGAGAGTTTTGTCTTTTTAGGCCAAGCGCATACTGCAAACAGAAGATCATGAGCGGGTGTACATTTTAAGCTAGGGTCACACTGGACTTTTCTCCCTATAGACTTCCATTCATTTGCAGGCGAATGCATCAGACCGGAACTGTAAGGTCGTGCGTCAAGCTTCGCAGATCGCCTCGTTGGAAAGTTCCAGCTTATTGAACTCCATCCTGCGAAATCGTATCACTTGACTGCGTCAATTGAGGATCAAAACACAATGTCTCTGTACAGAAATTTAAAATATGGAGCAATCGCGCATTTTTTTAAATGTGTAATCATCTTGTTTAATCCCGCCCCTTCTCGCAGCGCCGTACGACAGATTTTCGCATGCTCAAGACTTCAGATTTAAGGTTACATTTAAAAGATTTGTGCTTGTTTGTGCATCAGTTTCCTGAGACACGGAGCCAACTGGACAGCAGTTCGGTGTTTAAACTTGGGACAGGAATCATGATCTGGGACTCCTCAAGAGTGTGTGCAAGATTAACGAGAGAAAGAAAAACCCAATTAAATTGACATCGTCCTTCATCTGCAACTGTTTCACAGCTTATGTTAAAATAAACCATGCTTTGTGAATTTATAATTGAGCCAAAGTATGTGCAACTCATTCTACTTCCTCACATGGTGTTTTTAATGATTGGGAGAAAATGGGCGGGGCTTGATATATTAGTTGGCCTAGGATTAGGTGATGAAAAGTGACTGCAAGGGAGGGAGGGGTTTAAGAACTAATGGGGAAGTAGGTTTGGAGGCGGAGCCTTTGCACAAGACAGTGCATTTTTTTTTAGGGATGAACCACTTTGCCCAATACCATGACTCTATATATGATGAAACCGATATTTAAACCGATAAGCGTACATATTGATTTGTCATGTGCATGATTTAAAAAAACAATAGTTTACATATTACAAGTCTAAAGTCTTCTTTTTATCATGGTGAAAAACTGCTACACTGCCGATATCTTGTCTTTCATCGATTAAAAACTGTATCTGTTGCATGCAACACGTTTCGTCATGTGGAAAAAAAAACAGTTAAAACAGATCCAATCTAAACCAGTAACCAATTAGAAACTTTTGAAGGGCCAATAATTTTAATATTGGGCATATAATGTTAGCATTAAAGAAATCAATTTATCAACCGATATTGGTACCGATATTTTTTCCGTATTATTTGCGTGATATATACTTTTACGTTGTAATTGTATTTGTTAACTGAGTTAAAAGCCACAAACCAACCAGCTATATATATATATATAAATATAAATTTTAAACAACAATCTCATGATGCACTGAGAATGACAATCAAATTCAAGTTAATAGGGAAGTTGAACGTGATTGGTTTAAGGTGTGTATATACAAACAACACTCTTTAAATTTATTCTAAATTATGTAGAAAGATGGGTGTCACTGTGGCTCAGAGGTTAGCATTGTTGCCTTACAGCAACAAGGTTGCTGGTTCGAGTCCCAACTAGGCCAGTTGGCATTTCTGTGTGGAGTTTGCATGTTCTCCCCATGTTGACGTGGGTTCGGTTTTCCCCACAATCCGAACACATGCGCTAAAGGTGAATTGGCCATAGTGTATAAGGGTGTGTGAATGAGTTTGTATGAGTTGAAAGGCATCCGCTGTGTAACACATACGCCGTAATAGTTGGCGGTTCATTCAGCTGTAGTCACCCCTGATAAATAAGGGACTAAGCTAAAGGAAAATGAATGAACGAATGTATAAAGATACGAAATGTTTGTGAATTTAGGGAAGTTAATTATATTATGAAATTCACAGTGCTTCATTAGCATGATTTACATAATCGCACCATTGTCATTGGTGGTTTTCAATAACCACTGACCGGGAATTATGTTGTTAAACTTGATTATTTAAATAAAATTGTTGATATAATGCGGAGTGATTGCTAAACAAAAGTATTTATCACAGATTAACAATCATTTGCTAACGGAGAAAATAAATGTTTGTTTTTTTTACTTCATATAAAGCCAGAAAAAAGTATTAAAAATGTTAATTTTGGTTGAAAAAAGCCAGTGGATACACCATTTTGTGGTAACCCAGAGCATTTTTAATCTTCATACATGTTCAAATATGTCACATCAGGTCATCAAAAAAGGAGTATGTGCTTTGTAAAACAGGATATACAATACACAAACACTTTCAACAGATGTTTAAGCTAAATACACATCAGATATGTGTACATTTGATTTAACTCTGTCAATATGCAAGGATTCATTTATATACAAACAAGGCATTTGTGTCACAAGATCTGTCATTAATCATTAACGATCGTTCATTTCACCTGTAACACGGTTTATTTATACATAACACAAACAACGGCAAAACAAACAAAGGCTAGGCTAGGCTAGGCTAAGCTATCTCATACTTTAATCATAGTCAGAGTAATTATGTAAAAGACTAGTAAAAGTTTATGTAAAAGACCTCAGCTAGCTATAAACATTGCTGGAGAATGCAGTTTGACCTTGTTTAAATGCATCTTACACTGGAATGTTAGCGTTAGCCTGTAGATTAGCAGCTAATACCTTGACGTTCTCCATTCCTCAGGACCATCGTGGGAATTGGGAGGATTGTGTGTATGAAAACAGAAGACAGATGTTGTAAATCAAGCCGAATGATGTCTGAAAAGCACACGAGGAGAAGCATGAGCTGCCGTGAGAGATTTAGCATTAGCCTGAAACAGGGTTTCTGTGTAAATATATAAATACCGCATGCGATAACCTGCTTCATTTCTTCTCTGTGAATTTGTTTATGTGATGAATATCAGGAGATTGCGAAACTACAGCAGCATGTGGTTTATGAGAAGCATCTTTGTCATTGGCAGCCAGTCAAACGCTGTTTATCTTAAATAAATGAACTGTAAGTAGCATGATTTGTGAACGATTCAGTGTATATTAATTGCAATATTAATATATTATGATACTTATTAGTGTTTTATATTGTCAGTTATTTTAATGATGTTCTTTTATGCTCTTTTAGTTATTTTATTATATGATTTAATCAGTTTATTAGTCTTTTTTACTTATAAATATTTAAATATAGCTTTTCTTTTTTATTTATAGTTTTGCAGCATAAGTTATAATTTGGTTTTTGATATAGGTATTAAAATTTTTTTAAGTAAAATTTTTATAATTAACAGAAACATGAACAACAGTTTTGTTTTTATTTTAATTTATTTATTTTTCGTTGTTGTTGTTGATGTTTACATTGAATTTAGGTGTTTGTAATGTTTTTTATTTTTTATATTTTTTCATTTAAGATTTTGTCCAACATTTCTAAAAAATTCTTTAGAAAATACAAATAATATTTATTATACATGTATACAAGTTTTGTTTTGTATTTTTAATACATAAAATGATAAACACCACTATTAATCTAAGTATACTATAACTTGTAGATATCTAATAATATTATAATTCTTATTTATTTCTTTTTTGTTTTACTTAGTTTTATTTTACTTAATATATATATATAACATACTGGTTCGAAACACACGCAAGCGCAGGTTGCCAGATTGACAACATCAAGAGAAGTGTGCCTAACCATCTAACCCAGGGATGGGCAAACTTGATCCTCGAGGGCCAGTGTCCCTGCAGAGTTTTGTTCCAACACTAGTCAAACACACCTGAACAAGCTAATCAGTGTCTTCAAGATCACTAGAATCTATAAGCAGGTGTGTTTGATTAGAGTAGGAGCTAAACTGTGCAGGACACCGGCCCTCCAGGACCGAGTTTGCCCACCCCTGATCTAACCTAAAGGATGATTTAACAGCGATAAAAGGAATATTTTCTATATAGTTCAGCTATATGGAAAACGGCTTCCATTTCTTGCAGAAAAACAACAGGATAAACTGACAATATTTACCTCAGGTACGCCTCATGTGTTTTAGTCAATGTTAAATGCTAATAATGTGAGTTTTAATGCCATTTCACATGACATTTATTCAACCCAAGCTCATTCTGGAAACGTAGCCCCGTGGACGTTTCTGGAGACCGCGATTTACGTGGGAGGAGGTACGTAAAGGCCGCGTTTGGTTTTTTTCGAGCGAACGCTGCGGGGCGGTGTGGCGCCGCTCCGCCCCTCCTCTTCGCGCTCCCCGGCCGACGGCTCACCTCCAAGTGGAGGGCTTTCCCGATGCAATCAGTTTGTCCGCTTAGCTCACAGCATTGCGTCGGCAGAGCGGAGGCCCCGGAGGAGGAGCCGGAGCCGGCCGCGGTGGACGACGACCGGGATCGAGTCCGGGGAACAGCAGGTTCCGAAAATCAGGTGAGACGAAAAACGGAATCCGAAAAATAAGGGCGAGAACGCGGCGGGATCCGAAAACGCGGTCAAAATCGAAGACGAGGGCTTTTGCTTTTATTTTTTTTTTTTTCGATCCGGCGGCTTATCGCGCGAGAACGGCGCGAACGCCACGCGCTCCCGAGAGGCGCCAGAGACGCGAAAAAGCGCGCACATCGGCCTCTCGCGGATCCGCGAAAACAAAAAACGCTCAAATAAGTACCTCCCGGGACGTAAATCGCGGTACGCAGAAACGTCCGCGGGGCTACGTTTCCACAATGAGCCCGGGTTGCATTTATTGCCATACTACTGAAAGCAAAAAATAGTTTACCTCAGATCTTAAAAATAAAATAAAACATTTGACATTGAACTTTAGAACTGTGACTCACATATCAAGTCAACACATATCAGTGATTCAGCATCTGCATTTAATAATGTTAAAGAGGTTTAATGTGTGCTAATTAGATTTTAAACCTAACCATTTCGTTGGAGTGCAGTGAGTGCACTATTCTGTGCTTCTGAATGGCTGTATTTACATTTCTGACCTGCTTCGTCTGGTGCAAAAAGCCAAATAGCTTATCACTGCAAATCTCATAACGTAGCGTGTTGTTAGGACACGGTGTTACAATGTAACCTGCACACCTAATGTTTACATTCATAATATTTGCTAATTAATAACCACTGCATTTGGAACTCTGAATCTGCGTCTCATTTCAGAGTCTGCTACTGTCCACCGGAGGTAGTGGACACACACTTTGAGAGCCTTCCTGACTGAATGAATGAAATATGCTGTTTTCCATCAAGGCCACCCGGGTGCTGAAATATAATTGGCTGAACTGGCATTAGGCAGGTTAAAAAAAACAAAACAAAGACAGCGTTCCAGCACGTAACTCACATTTTCAAAGCAGAATATCTGACTTCAGCATTGTTTCTCAGATAAACAGGAATGTTTACTTAGCATGTTTCTGAAATATCTGCAAACATATTATGGTATTTTTACGCTTTAGGAGAGTCACAAACTTGCATACATCACCCTAACGTAAATAACGATAGTTCATGTTAGTTAATGTTATTTAACTTAAATTTAAAATCATGGTAGCTCCTGCTGCATTAACTAATGTTAACAAGCACGCCTTTGGATTTTAATAATGCATTAATAAATGTTGAACTATGATTAATAAATGCTTCAAAAGACTTAGTTAACAAAATTAGTTACCAATAATTCTACCTTCATGATCTCACCTTTAAAGGCGTCCATTCTTGACGTCGCCCAAAGCGCCCCAAACATCGAACAGAAAAACATCCGGAAAGCCGAAATCTCCCAGAACTGAGTCGAGAGCCTCGGCGAAATCATCTGGGTTTTTCTTGTTCTTCCCGGCCTCCACTATAGTCGTCGCTGAAGGAACGACACACGACGTTAAAAACATCATCACTTATATTCTTAGTAAACAGATACAGTCCTGCTACTTGATTCTGATTGGTCGAGCCACATTCTAAGCTGTTGTAAAATACTCTACAATGAAGGCCTCACGCACTCTTGTGTGAATCCCGGTTGGTTGTTTGCATGCACGCCGACAAAATAGGCGCCGCTCATGCGCCGTGAAACCGGAGTAACAGCCTTTTGTGCAGCGGTGTCGGCACGCAGCGAGTTTTGAAAGTCGACTAAAGTTTATATAATATGATGATGATGATGTTACTTTCACTAAGCATGTCTTTAAAGCAGAAAGGAGGGATAATGAGTCAGGGAGGTAAGACTTCATGACATGATTTCTCAGCCGTGATCTGGTCTAAGACCACAGATAATTCTATAATACATTTTTTGTATTCTTTAGAATTGTCATAATTAATTTTCATGCAAAAGGTTTCTTAAGTGATGTTGGCATATCAGTCCAGTTGTTGTTTTCCAGTAATATTTAGGATTGATTTCTGTTATTTATTTAGAATAATAATTGTATAGTAATATTAATATTAACTGTGTTTATTTTGAATGAATATAAATAAATCGTTATATTTATTGAATAACAAATCTAACAATTCAAGGGAGGTGGGGGTGTGTAGGGTGGTTCACCCAGGGTGTCATTTAAACCACTACTACCCTCCCCAATCGTCGTTGACAGCACGCACACACCTTCAATAGACAGCACTGGCAATTTAATATATCAATAGAAGAAGCTGCATTAATAAAATGGCTCAAAAAGCAATATGGATAAATGATATTATTAGGTATAGTGAGTGTGTATATAGTAATGCCTTTTCTTCTGTTCATTTGTTTGGGTTATTAATAAACTCATTTGTCACCGACTCGGCCCCGGTCATTCCCCTCGCTGGCCAGCAGAGGCCGCCATCTCCGGACTTTTAGCATTACATCATCCATCTGCACTGATTGCGCATACACCTGATCTGAATCTTGTTAACGACCCACGTACCTCATATAAGCCGCACTCGAACACTCAGTCAGTGCCAAGTCTTGTTCAGCCCCGGCCAGCATTACTGAGCGTTATTCCCAGCCTGATCTCTTGTGTACGACTCCAGCCTGTCTCTTACTTTGCTTCGCCTTCTGCCTGCCCACGACCCACGCCTAATACACGGACTCTGATTCTCTCTGCCTGCCCACGAACCACGCCTGATATACGGACTCTGATTCTCTCTGCCTGCCCACGAACCACGCCTGATATACGGACTCTGATTCTCTCTGCCTGCCCACGAACCACGCCTGATATACGGACTCTGATTCTCTCTGCCTGCCCACGAACCACGCCTGATATACGGACTCTGATTCTCTCTGCCTGCCCACGAACCACGCTTGTTATACGGACTCTGATACTCGCTGCCTGCCCTCAACCCAAGCCTGATATACGGACTCTGATTCTCGCTCATTACCCACCACTCATGCCTGGTAACTCTCTGTGTCTGTTCATCACCATTCTTGATACCCTTACTACTACTGTGGATGTGTGTGTGCACTCCGGTGCATATTGTGTGTTTGAGTGAAGTTGTGATTAATGAATACTGCATAATGGATCCCTCCGTGTCAGTCTCCTCGTTACATCATTATTCTTTCATTCATTTTCCTTTTGGCTTAGTCCCTTTATTAATCCAGGGTCGCCACAGCGGAATGAACCGCCAACTTGTCTAGCACATTTTTACACAGCGGATGCCCTTCCAGCTGCAACCCATCACTGGGAATAATAAACTCATTAATCTTCATTAATTTTAGACATGGCATAGACCGTATGATGTACAATAAAAGCACGTAAAAAATGAAGTTATTTATTCGGTATATATATATATATATATATATATATATATATATATATATATATGAAAAGTGTTTTTAAACTAAACATAGATTTTTTTAATTGGTTTGCACATGTACTTCCTGAATTATTTCAAGAAATAAATTGCAACATTTCAAGAAGAATTAATTAAATGAATAAAAACTACATTATTTCATTTACCAGAAACAAAAATATAACATTACAATGAATTCAACATTTTTTTTGTGTCCCACCGCAAGATTTGGTGCGGCCTCTTCTGGCCACCCCAAAGAAAATTTTTTGGGGGCGCCACTGGTTAGTACTTACTATTTAACTACTATGTATTACTTAGTAACTACTAACTACTCCTGTTTCGGGCGGCTGCTGTAATCAGATCCTATACCAATGCTGGCAACCTGGGGGTTTCACAGACTGTACCAAAATGCTGAGGACCGGGGGGGTGGATGGTTGAAATTATGGGAGTTTTCCAGGAGAAATAACAAAACGGGAGGGGTGGCGGGAGATGGGTCTGAAACAGGCCCGAATTGGCTAATCGGGAGGACCGGGAGAATTCCCGGTGGGCTGGTCCGTTTTTTGGCCGCGAGGGCCGGTGTCCCTAGCTTCAGAATCTGTTGCTCTCAGCAGTCACACTTTTTAAATTAATTTATTTATTTGACCAGTCTTCTTATTCATTATTTTACCGTAGCTCTGCTCTGTTTATATATAAGTAGCCTGCAAATTATTGTAATTTTAACAACAACTGCTGTGGTCCAGTGGTTAACACGATAGATTACGACGCCGCTGATTGGGGTTTGATACTCGTCTGAGTATGTTTTTTTTTTTTTTTTTTTCATTTTTATTGTTAAGACATATAATACTGTTAGAGTTGTTAAACATTTGAAGTTCTAAAGCAGCTGTTTTCTTAAAAAAAACGTGATATTGTAATTAGAAACTGAATTGAAAATGTCCTTATTTTAATATAGTCAGTCGTGAACTGAGGTGGGCCGGTCTGAGGCTTGAAACTCCAGGGCTGAAAAGCAGTCCCACTCCGGCCCTGGTCTGAAATACTGGAGACTCCCGGGAAAAACGGGAGTGTTGGCAGGTATGGTATAAACTGGCTGCGTCCAAAATCGCCTACTACTCGAGTAGTATTGTCATGTTTGGTGCACTAGAGCGCCCTCTGGCTTTCAGATGAAGATTCACTACTGATCACAGAACTGTGTTTCTGTGCAGGACAGAAAACGTGCAGGACAATCACAGCTTAGCTCGATTATGTTTGTAATTTGGTTTCGATTAATCGCCCAGCGCTACTCTCTGTATAAATAAACTCCTCTCTGTGATTGGTCTGCTCACCGAGCTCCAGGTCTCTGATGCCCATGTAACTCTCCAGCAGATCGTCCACCTTGCGGATGGCGGCGTCCTCCAGTTCACTGGGCTGCGTTCACACACAGACACACAGATTAACATTAAAGGGCTAGTTCACTCAAAAACCAAAAAAAATCCGTCATAATTTCCTCATCCTCCATTTGTTGCAAACGTTTATGAGTTTCTTCTGTTGAAAGGGAAATGTTTTGAAGAATGTTGGGGGGAAAAAACAGCCATTAGTTTTGTTTCTATCCAAATATGCAAATTAGATTTATGCGCAAAACTGGAAACCTCATAAAACATTTTGCAAATAAAACAGCGTTTCCAATCTGATGATTAAAACAAAACAAAACAATCTCTTGCTGATAAACTGGAGCAAACATCAGCCAGAGAAATGTAGTTTAGTGCATTTCGGGAAGCTAATGTGGTGTTTTTTGCTTCTCTAATAAATGAGTTGCGCCTCAGAAGATGAAAACGAAACAATGAACGCAATGCGGTGGCTTTTGGAGGTCTGAGATGTCCTTCAGGAGCACAGACAGATGCTCAAGACAGTTCTGGATGGAAATAGTAATAACACTGATACACTGTGATGATGGACTGAAGGCTGACGGGTTTTAGAAATGAGCAAAACAACATTTCAGATGTCCATTGACGCATTCCATCACACATAAATATCATCACATGACCTGCTCAAACTAAATCACATGATGTTACTGATGCACAATATCCAGCATTCTTCAAAATATCTTGTTTTGTGATCAGTGGAAACTCGTAAAGGTTTGGAATCAAGTCACTGAAGGGTGAGTAAATAAGTAAACTCACAATCTCCTCCAGTGAAGCTGATCCTCGAGTTCGCAGGCGGAGAGTTTCTTTGCCGCTCGACAGCTTCCCCTCGCTGGACTTAGGGGCCCGAGTCCTCTGACCGATCATGTCTGAATCACACAAACACACAGAGAAAAGAGAAACACACACAAACCATCAAAATCTTCATCACTTCAGTGTTTACTCCTAGTTAAAAAAGAAATGAATGTTCAGTAACAAAAAAAAAAAATCAAGAAAAGTTGAAAAGAAACATTATATATATATATATATATATATATATATATATTAGTGCTGTCAATCGATTAAAAAAATTTAACTAATTAATCGCACCGTTTTAAAAAAAAATTATCGTGATTAATCACATTTAAATACTGAAACTTGTAATTTTGGCTATTCAAATGTAAAATTAAAGTAAACGCAAGACAAAAACTATTTAAATTCAAAATATAATTGTTTATTAGAATTAAAATTCAAAATATAATTGTTTAATAGAATTTTTGCTTAACTTGTAACAGATTTCTTCATGTAAACAACATACCCACAATAAACCATCAAGATCCTGGTTTGACAGCCATATTTATTACAGAAATTAAAACACAGGCATGTTAATGACATTTGAATTTCAAAACAATCAATGCCAATAAAGATAACATTGCCTAAGCAGTGATTTTATTACCTTAAAGGAACACCGAGTCACGAAATGCGGAGGATTTTCTTTCTGTTCGCCATGCGGCATCAACTTACAACAGAAGTCGAAAGTTAAAAATGAAACACCCGAAATTGCATGAAACTCTGGAGAGCCTGGTGATGCGACTAATTGTTTTATACTAAAACTTGCCATCAAAAAGTGCTTCCTTGGTCTTATCCACATTTATTGCATGTTAAACACACGTCCACCACAACAGGAAGTAAAAAAAAACGGCAACTGCGTTAATTGCGTTTTTAATTGCATTAATTTTTTTTAACGCGTTAATTATTTAAAATTAATCGCATGCGTTAACGCACTACTTTTGACAGCGCTAATATATATATATATAAATATATATATATATATATATATATATATATATATATATATATATATATATATATTTATACAACAATTCTGTCTGATTCTTGAATCTGACTGGCTGATAGCCATGATATATTTAAGTAATATCAGCACCCGTAAAGCCTCTTTACCTTTTGTGTATTACTCCGCCCATATACAACCAGCAACAAGCAGACTCGACAGATCTAAAGTTTAAAAGATGCTTAATCAGCTTATGATTTGAATCCAACGCGGAAGAAAGTAGTTCCTCATACAAAAGGGTTTTTCAGACTCTCCATGTTTGATTTTGTTTTTATATACACAATTATGCCGTCAAACTGTTGTATAAACGCAATATCACACGAGTAGCAGTGCGATATGGCTGTATATCGGCACTGGTGGAGGCACTAAGGCACCACGCACGCCTCCCACCAGTGCCGATATACAGCCATATCGCACTGCTACTCGTGTGATATTGCTCATATATATATATATATATATATATATATATATATATATATATATATACACAGTAGTTCTGTATGGTTTATGAATCTGATTGACTGATAGCAGTGCAATATTCTGCAATATCAGCACTCGTACAGCCTCCTCACCCTTGTGTATTACTCCGCCCACATAGAGTGACAGCAGATCAATAAACTCACAACAGTTTGACAAATATTGCAGCTGTTGGACGACATCATGTACTTTTGAGGCTTTTTTAGGTGATAATGTAGTTGTTTAGATTGCAGCTATGCAGTTTATGTATAAGGACAGTGCCTATTTTAAATATTTATAATTTCAGAGATTCAGCACATCGGTGGCCATTAGCCTGTCATACTGAGCAGAGCAAAGACGGTTGATGTTCCACCACAAGATGGCGACAGAGACCAAATAATAAATCCTTAGAGGAGAAAAACTCAGCATAATTTCAAACTACAGCTGATCAAATCATTATTAAACTGGTAAGTGATATTCTAAGTCGATCTCTCTCTTTTATATGGTGTAGTGCTGTATTTATACTATAGTAATTGTATAGCGTATTGAGTGTGAGATGGGACTCGTATCAGGAATGTGTGTGTTTTGTGTTGGCCACTCTTTGTATAACCCTGAGTTACTTTTTGATTGGCTATCGTTTTGTTTCTAATGAGTCTCCTGTTTTCGTTACTGCTGACTAGTCCGGTAAACAGAAAGAAAGAAGAAATGCCAGCATGTGTTTAGTGTTTTTCCTTATCGCAAACACAACAGTAATCTGCTAGTGTTTGCTTTGGATTTTTTGGGGTTAATTATTGTGACCTCCTGATGGCAACAGAAAAATACTGTTAAATGTCAGTAGACTGATGGCATTTCATGGCGTTCAGCCTTACAATCTTAAACTGTGAGTGAAATCAGCTGTTTTGCCATCACTTTAGACATTACGCTAGAGAATCATTCAAACACTAGCTCTAAAGTGACGTTTGTGAAGTAGCTGTAACCGTTCTGACGTCAACTGCAGATGTGAATGAATGGTAGAACAAAGTAGTTCTTCTTACAAAAAGATTTTGAGACTCTCCGTGTTTGAATTTCTGTTAAAAATGCAACATCAAATGGCAGTGCTGGGGGTGGTGTGAGTGGGGATTTTGAGGTGTCAGGGGGTGAGGTGTCTGAATAACACAGCCAAGTAACTGTACTATGCACTGGGTTTCAGGGCAGCCGCTGTGATCGGATACTATACCAAAGTCAGTGATCCAGGGGTGTTACGGACTGTACCAAAAAGCTATGGGTGGGGGGGTGAGGGTTGGGGTTAACAAAACGGGAGCGGCAACGAAAAGGATGGCGGGAGATCGATCTGAAATATGGGAGACTCCTGGGAAAAATGGGAGTGTTGGCAGGTATGGTGTGTTTATATAATGTATTATTGGGTTATATTTGACGTCAACAGAGGTACAGCAACTCCTAACACTGAAGCAAATGCTGGGATTTTGATTGAAGAATGAAGATGACCAAAACAAACACATTTTTACTCTGAATTAACTTGCACGGATTAATTAGTGACCTTAAGAACTTTAACGTTGTTAACTTTATTTAAAAATGTAAACTTAGCAAAAGAAAAACTTGTACATTTTGATTTTTAAGCAGACTTTAAATAAAAAAAAAACTACAGAAAAGTGTCTGACGACCAGCGAGCGAGCTGCATTAGCATCTCATTAGCCTGCGCTCGTGTCGGCCATCTTTTCCTCCATATGCCTTTGATCCTCCATGTAGAAACACAGAGGAGGATTGAGTGTAATTACCCATGATTCTCTCGCACAGGCTAATCCATCACGCTAAAAGAGGCAATTAGCTAACGCTACAATGACGATCAATTATTAACGGCAGTAATGAGCTGCTCTGCGGAGATCAGTGTTTGTGTTTCTGCTCGTCTGATGGTTCTCCAGAGAGCAGACCTGATCGTAAGTGTGTGTGTGTGTGTTTATGCAGATTAAACACACTCGTCTTTCTCAATCCAGCACACTGTAAATCTTGGGAACTTTTTCTTTGACTAATGATGGTGGAAACGGAGATTTCCGTTCGCGTTGTGCTTCAAGTTCAAAACTCTACAATCTGACTTCCGCCTGTTTCCTTGATGATCTACTTGATCTTCAATATGAGCTAGTTTGTGCATGAACCTTTTTTAATAGCTTAATATATATATATATATATATATATATATATATATATATATATATATATATATATATATATATATATATATATATATATATATATACAGTTGAAGTCAGAATTATTAGCTAATCTGTTTCCTGTGCAGCACATGTGAGCTGCTATGGTATGATGTTCAGGAGAAGCAAACTTATTTTGAACTGCGATCAAAACTGATTGAAGCTACCCCCTGTGCATGTAAACGAAAATAATGCACAGCTTCTAGCCAATCAGAATCAAAAAAAATTTCAACAGAGCATAGAATAAATAAATAAATAAATAAATAAATATATATATATATATATATTTACACACACTTATTTAACATACAATTATTAACCGTGTTACTGTGTTTCACCACATGATGGTGCTGTACTTTAGGTGTATGTACTTTTTAAACCATTATTTGTACAGTTTTTAATCATATATATGTATATTCAATGAATTTATTATATATTGGTGGGAGTAAAATGTTTTTGTCTTAATTTGTGGTGATCAAAACTCTTCTAAAGTTAAAATATTGCTACTGTGTTGTCTTAAAATGCATGTAAACATCTCAAAACAGCACCTTCTTTGTTTTATAAGTGGTAATTATATGTTATCATATAAATGTTGTTATATATTTATGGAGTAAAAGACTACAACTAGGTGACGCAGTGGCGCAGTAGGTAGTGCTGTCGCCTCACAGCAAGAAGGTCGCTGGTTCGAGCCTCGGCTGGGTCAGTTGGTGTTTCTGTGTGGAGTTTGCATGTTCTCCGTGTGCTCGCGTGGGTTTCCTCCGGGTGCTCCGGTTTCCCCCACAGTCCAAAGACATGCGGTACAGGTGAATTGGGAAGGCTAAATTGTCTGCAGTGTATGAGTTTGAATGAGTGTGTAAATGAGTGTCTAGAAGGGCATCCGCTGCGTAAAACTAGTGCTGGAAATGTTGGCGGTTCATTCCACTGTGGTGACTCTGGATTAATAAAGGGACTAAGCCATAAAGAAAATGAATGAATAATTGAATGAATGAATGAAAACGATAATTTACTACAACTTTGTATGAAGTAAAGCTGTCATATTTATTATCTTTCTACTAGTTTTATCTAATACTACTTATTATTTATACGTACAAATGTTTAATATTTGAATAAAACATTTATTACAATATTATACAATATATACAGACCAGCGCACAAAGAATTATATTAGTTAAATCTTAAAAAAATTAATAATTTAACATACCTTATACGTGCTATTCTATAAAAAAAAAACAATAATAAAATAAGTTGTATAAGTTGTATATATATTTTTTACTCACTGCTGAATAAATGAGTAAACGTTAAGGTGCATAAAAATAAATAAATACAAAAATTAAAAAAATGTATTAATAAAAATAATTTTAAACAATTATTAATTAAACAATTAACTAACAAATTGATTAATAAAAAATGTATAAATAAAAATATTATTAATATAAATAATAAAAATATACATTTTTTTAAATAATACAAATAATAATAAAATAATAATGCCTGTTTTGTAGCAGCAGTTTGTTGATATGATGTGAGATATTAATTTATATAATGACTCACGAAAGGCTTCTTTGGGCTTATTTTGGCAGTTTTTGAGCAGCGTTTGTGTTACTGAACAACTTTATAAGCAACAGTTTTTAAAAATAATGTTTAATTAATACTTTTATAGTACAAAAAAATCATGAATATTTTTAAACATGATCACGAAACGTATATTTGTGTTTAAACATGACACAAAACTTAAATTCTTTTTTTTCACTTTATATTATAAATAAACTTAAACAAGTTATATAAATAAACACACAACTAAATACATAAAATCATAACAGGATAATAAATAGTGCTTACTAAAATATTAAACTAAATTCAATTAAAATCATTTGTAACTAAATACACAAGTAGATATTTTTTTTAAATATAGATGATTTGTATATCGCATGAACCTAAATATTTAAATAAAGCTTAATAAACAATGTTTTATATGTAGAGATATTAAATAAAGCATATAATGCATAATGTCTGTGTATCTTTAAAATAATAAAGTAATATACCTTATGTATGCTATTCCATAAAATGACCACACGACGGCACTGTTCTTCTTATTATAAGCCCTTTTTACTTGAAGCTGGTTTTATACAGCCAAGTTGCATAAAATCATGAGTGTTATTAATGAATGTTTACAAGTTAATGTTAAGGTATAAAACTGTTTATTATTATCATTATTATTATTATTATTATTATTATTATTATTATTATTATTATTAATATTATTATAAACACTTAATGAGCAGATTTTCTTCACTCAAAAAGTTTAGTTTTTCTTAGCTTAATTGTTTTATGTTCAATCCACTTAAATTTGTACAAACACTTAGGTTAAATTAATCGATTTGTGTCGGGACAACATAAGGGAATTGTGTGGAACCCAGCATTGTTTACAGTGTTGTTTTGTAGCAGCAGTTTGTTGATATGATGAGATGTTAATTTATATAAGGACTCACCAAAGGCTTTTTTAGGCTTACTTTTGCCGTTTTTGAGCTGTATTTGTGTTTATAAACAACATTATGATTAACATTTTTAAAAAATAATGTTTAATACTTTATAGCACATATAATATTAAATATGTTTAAACATGATCACGAAACTTAAATTCGTTTTTTTTACTTTATATTATAAATACACTTAAATAAATTATATAAATAAACACACAACTAAAGACTTACAATAAAAACATGATAATAAAAAGTGCTTATTAAAATATTAAGCTCAATTAAATTTAACTCATTTGTAACTAAATACAAAAGTAAATGTTTTTCAATCATAGATTACTTGTATATTCCATGAATTGAAAACCTAAATATTTTAATAAAGCTTAATAAAGAATGTTTTAGATGTAGAGATATTAAATGGTGTATATAATGCATAATGTGTGCGCGTATCTTTAAAATAATAATTTAATATACCCATTAATATATGCTATTCCATAAAATGACCACACGACGGCGCTGTTCTCCTTTATATAAGCCCTTTTTTACTTAATGATGGTTGTTTTTAGCCAAGTTGCATACAATCATTATGTGATTTTGTAATAAATGAACATCTACAAGTAAATGTTAAGGTAAAACCCTTTATTATTAATAATAATAGTATTATTAATATTATTATTATTTTAAACACTGTTATATATCATTATTTTTATAGGGGTTTTCACCTTTATAAGGACAGTGGAGATTTACAGACAGGAAAGTATGGGGAGCAGAGAGAGGAAAAACGATCGGCAAAGGACCTCAAGCCGCGAATCGAACTCGGGTCGCCGCAAGCACCTGGTTGCTATATGTCGATGCACTAACCACTATTGGCGCCGACACTTGAAACAGGGTTAATGGGCATATTTTCTTCACTCAAAATGATTTTTGCTAGTTGTTCAAACTACTTATTTAACATTAGATGAATCAACACAATTCTTGAGGGTTTTTTTAGACAGCTTATTTATTTAATCCACTTAAATGTGTAAAATCATTTAAGTTTGCTTAAACTATTTGTGTTTGTGTAGCAGAGGCCAGATAGTAAGTATTTATAAGCGACAGACGCTAGAGGCCATGGTCTTTAGCCTCCTTGGTACAGCAACCGGGGGAAGGTCGCCGTTTCGATACCAGCTTGGAGTGGTTGAGTGGTGTAACCGGTGGGGTTAAACTGGTGCCGTGACCCGGATGGGAGTGAGGTTTAGGGGGGTAAGTGTAGCCGAGGCCAGCTAGTAAGTGATATGCAGATAAAACCTCACTCCTCTGACCTCTAAAGGTAGAGCAACCGGCGGAAGGTCGCTAGTTCGATACCAGCTTGGAGCGGGTTGGGTGGCGTAGGACCGGTGGGGTTAAATTGGTGCCGTGACCCGGATGGGAGTGAGGTTTAGGGGGGTGAGTGTAGCCGAGGCCAGCTAGTAAGTGATATGCAGATAAAACCTCACTCCTCTGACCTCTAAAGGTAGAGCAACCGACGGAAGGTCGCTAGTTCGATACCAGCTTGGAGCGGGTTGGGTGGCGTAGGACCGGTGGGGTTAAACTGGTGCCGTGACCCGGATGGGAGTGAGGTTTAGGGGGGTAAGTGTAGCCGAGGCCAGCTAGTAAGTGATATGCAGATAAAACCTCACTCCTCTGACCTCTAAAGGTAGAGCAACCGGCGGAAGGTCGCTAGTTCGATACCAGCTTGGAGCGGGTTGGGTGGCGTAGGACCGGTGGGGTTAAACTGGTGCCGTGACCCGGATGGGAGTGAGGTTTAGGGGGGTAAGTGTAGCCGAGGCCAGCTAGTAAGTGATATGCAGATAAAACCTCACTCCTCTGACCTCTAAAGGTAGAGCAACCGGCGGAAGGTCGCTAGTTCGATACCAGCTTGGAGCGGGTTGGGTGCCGTAGGACCGGTGGGGTTAAATTGGTGCCGTGACCCGGATGGGAGTGAGGTTTAGGGGGTGAGTGTAGCCGATGCCAGCTAGTAAGTGATATGCAGATAAAACCTCACTCCTCTGACCTCTAAAGGTAGAGCAACCGGCGGAAGGTCGCTAGTTCGATACCAGCTTGGAGCGGGTTGGGTGGCGTAGGACCGGTGGGGTTAAATTGGTGCCGTGACCCGGATGGGAGTGAGGTTTAGGGGGGTGAGTGTAGCCGAGGCCAGCTAGTAAGTGATATGCAGATAAAACCTCACTCCTCAGACCTCTAATGGTAGAGCAACCGGCGGAAGGTCGCCGGTTCGATACCAGCTTGGAGCGGGTTGGGTGGCGTAGGACCGGTGGGGTATAATTTGGACAACATAAAGGAAATTGTGGTGAACCCAGCATTTTTTATCGTGTTGTTTTATAGCAGCAGTTCGCTGATATGATGTGAGATATTAATATTATATCATAAGAGGACTCACCGAAGGCTTTTTTGGGCTCCACTAGGCGCAGGGTGAATGGGGTTCCTCTCGGCTGCTCCTTCAGCATTTTAGCCACTTCATAATGTCGACATCCCACAATGCTCTGGTCATTGATGGCCTCGATGTGATCTCCGACACACACCGACTTTATCCTGTCAATGGTGCTGCCCTCCTTTATTCTCTGAAAATACAATACGTTAGGACGGTATTGGAAAAATACGACATTGCGATATTTTGTTTTGTGATATGAATGTAATTTCATCAGATGATTTGAATATAGCTCTATTTGGAAAGAGTGCGTTAATTTAGATCGACTAAGATGATCAAGTGTTTTTCTGTGCAGTGTGTCTGCATAAAATACAATTCAAGAGTTCACACTAAGCTGATGATTGATAATAAAGAGTGTCTGGCATGCATGCTGTCCCGGGAGAGAGCCCTGAGCTCATAAGATCCTCGAGCCCGGGGCTCCCTCCTGTTTGAAGAGCAAGAGGGGAGATTAAACTCAGGTAGGTCTCGAGAACTCCCCTGCTTGTGAATGTGTTAGGAATAGCTGAGATATAGATGGCCAGGGCCGGAGTGGGACTCCTTTTCAGCCCTGGAGTTTCAAGCAATAGACCAGCCTACCTCAGTTCACGACTGACTATATTAAAATAAAGTCATTTCCAATTCAGTTTCTAATGACACTATCATGTCTTTTTCAAGAAAACAGCTGCTTTAGAACTTCAAATGTTCAACAACCTCACAGTTTTATATGTCTTAACAATAAAAATGAAAAAAAAAAAAAAAGATTGACAACGTTGTAACGCTACATGCTGACCACTGGATTACAATGACGCTGTTACACTTGTGTGGCCTGAATGATAGTTATATCATCATTACCCTGCAGGCTGCATTTTGCTTATGGGGCTGCGAGACAATAAATAAGAAGAGCAGCGCTGCGGCAAAATAATGAATAAAAAGAGTGAGGCTATGGTCAAATAAATAAATAAATGAAAAAAGTGCGACTTCTGAGAGTGCAAGCAGCTAGAAACACCGGCCCTCGCGGCCAAAAAATGGAGCGGCCCACCGGGAACTCTGTTGGTCCTCCTGATTGGCCAATCCGGGCCTGTAGATGGCTATCTTACGATGCTACTTTGGAGTAGTCAATTTACTTATGATGTATGTCTTTGGACGTTAGGAGGAAACTGGGGAACCCGGGGAAAATCTACGCGAGCATTCACTCAAATTTTTTTTTTTTTTCCACTTGTTTCAACTACTTTCCCGGAGAAGAATTGCGGCTGGAAGGGCATTCGCTGCATAAAAATGTGCTGGATAAGTTGGCGGTTCATTCCGCTGTGGCGACCCCGGATTAATAAAGGGACTAAGGCCCCGTTTACACTAATGCGTTTTTGTTTTAAAATGCGTAAGTTTTGCTACGGTTACGCCATCCGTCCACACTACGCCGGAGTTCTCAAGCACTGAAAACGGAGCGTTTTGAAATCGCTGGAGAGGCCATTTTCATTCTGAAATGCTGCTGCTCTGTCTCAGTGTGGATGAGGACATCTGAAAACGGAGGCGGGACTGCTGAGATTCGCTACCTGATTGGGGCTTTTGTGTCATTGCGTATCCTTCCCTTATTCGTCAAGCTTAATTCCAAGCCTAATTCGTCAATTTTAATTTTAACATAATTATTACATCTGCGCATGTGTCCCCTACACAGTTTATTATGTTTAGTTGTGAATTCATCTTAAGATAGCAAATAGTTTCAAAGGTTTAACAAGGTGCTTATTATTATTATTTTGCATTATGATAAAATGCAGAAAAGAAAATTGAATGATATGAGAAAAAACAGCAAAAAAAATTAATAATAATTAAAGTACAAAAGGAGCATTTTAAAACTTTTGGGCCCCATGGCTGGAATTGTATAGGGCCGCAAAATCAAAAAATCTGCCTCTGTATATATATATATATATATATATATATATATATATATATATATATATATATATATATATATATATATATATATAATTTATTTATTTTTTTTACAGTGCAGATAGCACACCCGTACATCTGCAGGATGTAGTTTAAAGATCCCTAACCCTAACAATACTTCAAAGGGTGAAAAAATGTCAAATCCCAAAAATACGAATTCTGAATCTCTTTATTCTGCTGAACACAAAAGAAAACATTTTGAAGAAAGCTGGAAACCTGTAACCTAAATGTTAAACCAAAATGTAATAAATGTTAGACACTCTAAACGTCTATTTAACATCCGCACATTTACATATAATAGACATTTTGTGGATGAGCAAACGATGTACAATAAACACTACCATGTGTCAACACAAACATCAAAATGGACGTCTCAGAGATGTATAAGTGCTGAGAAATACTTTTATTAAATGTCATATTTTTCATTTAGATTTACTTTTAAGATTTTTACATTTAAGATTGAAATTAAAATATTGTAAACATGTCGTTGAAATCTCTTTTAAAGCAACTTTGGCCGAGAAACGATAAAACATTGACAGCCTATCAGAATCCTTCTTGATTTTAAGAGCGCGAAAATTTAAATTTGTGCGCGCTTAATAACGTAAATCGGTATGTTGACACTGTCACGATATTACAGCTAGTTATTGATCCATACGTGGTTTATTTTGTCTTTTTTTTTTTTTTGTTCTTAAGATTAACAGTTTTTAAATTACTTGAATGTCTGTATTAGTGCTGCTGTGCTGGATTTAACTTTTAACAGTCGAATTTGTCTCGACTTGTAGGCTATGCACTCATACTTGTCTTGTTTTTCCAGTTCCAGGATTGTGTTTTCGGTTTCAGGCTTACGGTTTAAGATTCTCAACATCCAGACTTGCTTTCTAGGAAGTCGTTAATCTGTCACAGGTTATAACCTGATAACCAGCACGTACTTTAATGAAGGCGTATCCCGCGCCGTTGTCGGTAATGGTCAAACCGAGGGCATCTTCTGTTTTAATGACCTCCACCTCTTTGGTTTCTCCCCGCACATGCGCAAAGATGAAGTCCTCCAGGCCGATCTGACCGCCCAGAAGCTTCTGCATGTCCACTTTATGCGAGTTCAGTGTGCAGAAGAGGATCTTGGGAGGTAAACAGATAATGTGAGGAGATTCAGGTTAGTATTTAGCGACAGAGTAAACAGACAACAACATATTTACGCGCCTTTTTATAGCGGCTATACTTATGGGTGTACAACAGATGGCGCTGTGGTGGTTTACTACACTGCTAAAATGTCATGCTTCTAGTCTAAATATCTCAAAATTCTTAAATCTAGAATGATTTTCTTGACAATTAAAATATGCTGTCTTGTTTTCAGAAACAACATGTCCAAATTTCTTAAAACATGCTAATCTATTGGGGTGAGCAAAACAAATCTTGTTTTGGCATTGAAAAAAGCTTATATTGAGGGAAAAACTCACTTAGTTTTGACGTATTACTTCTGAAAGCAAGACAATATCTGTTGCTTGTCTAGAAAAATGTTCTTTATTTAAGAATTTTTAGATATTTGGACTATAAATGAGAAAAAAAGAAAGGCAATTTTTGCAGTCCCAGCTATAATTATTAGTATTGATTTTGAATAAATTAAATAAGATATTCTGTTTTCGTCACACAATTAAAATAGTAGTATATTTAAAGAAATATTCTAATGTTTTGCTCACTATTCTCTAGACATTAAAACCTGAACAGAAGTTGTGCGATGTTGACATTTTGGAGGGGAAAATGTCAGAACTGCTAGATTCTTACGTTAACTATTGTAACTTGCAATTAAGAGGCGCAGTTAGACCTATGAACTGTAAATTTGCAGCTTTAAAGACAGAAATTGTGCGATATAAACTTCACTGTCCTGTGCATCCCATATAGAAATCTGATATATGGCATTATATATTCAAATTACATATATATGACATATTTGAACATGTAATTCCAATGGTTGAACATGTAAACAGCCATTTTGTAATAAGTATGACATTTTATATATGCGAAATTGGAGCTTGGATGTGTCATATGTCATTTACATATATTTCCATAGGTCAGATTTCTTTATGAATGTTGGTCAAAACCTCTGTAGTCCTTTGATGCAGCTTCTATGCTAGTTAATATGACATGCTAACACCAGCTTGCCTGAAATTAGCATTGTTGTTCCTGTTAGTTGCTAATAAAATATTATTTGTTCATACTTAATTAGTAAAAACATTTGATATAAAACATTTTAGCTTTCCAGATTTATAACTATGAATCTATTTGGATAATTATTCGAAATTAACAGATGATAATACTTATCTTTCACCCCAATCTGAAGCACAGTTTGTTTGGTTCGGTGCATTTTTTTGGCCTTGACCTTTGAGAAAGTGCTGAAATGTCTTGATAAGGTTCTCGAAGGACGTTTTCTGCTGAAGGCTGTGTGCTTTGTACAATAGCGTTTTCAAGGAAAAAAGCTACAGATAGAGCTGACGGTTATGTAAAAGGATCTTGTGATAACAAGCACGCTTTTGATTCCTGTAGATTTCCATCGCTTTGTGAGTTATTAATATGATATTTAAAGGATCAGTTCAGGTAAATACTAAGCCAATATCTAAATAATTAGAATTTAATTGTAATAATTATTTATTTAACTAATTTGTGAAATTAGTTTCGTCATATTATTTATAAACATGTTATAGGTTTGTTTGTTTGTTTGATTCACTAGCCACTGCTAGATACAAAACCATTAAGCATTTTATTTATTTATTTATATGTTTGTTTTAAAATGAAAATGTTTTTTGTTTGTTTATTGATTTAATTTGTGTATTTTCTAGCTACTGGCATGAAAATATTTAATGACTATATATATGCATGATTGACCATATTTAACATTTTTATTTATATAAATTTTTAATCATTTATTTACTATATATATATATATATATATATATATATATATATATATATATATATATATATATATATATATATATATATATATATATATATATATATAGGTTAATTAGGTAACTAGGCAGGTTAGGGTAATTAGGCAAGTTATTGTATAACGATGGTTTGTTCTAAAGGGGCTAATAATTTTGACCTTAAAATGGCTTTTTTTTTTTAATTAAAAACTGCTTTTATTCTAGCCAAAATAAAACAAATAAGACTTTCTCCAGAAGAAAAAATATTATCAGACATACTGTGAATATTTCCTCGCGCTGTTAACCATCATTGGGAAATATTTAAAAAAAGAAAAAAAAATCAAATGGGGGCTAAAAATTCTGACTTCTATATAATTCTGATATATATAAACCAAATCAAATTATCAAATGAAATGTTTGATAGATGTAATGGTCATATTTTATATAAACATTGCATTTACACACAGTTCATCTGTTTTGTAATGTTACATTTGCAGCTACACAGATAAAATTAAATATTCAAATATTTGTTTCCTTTTATAAAAACATATTTATCATTTAATCATTTACTGGCCACAGATATGTATTTAAACATTACTATTATTTTTTGTTTATATATTTGTTTCTTTGTTTCAGTTGTTTTATTTACTAGCCACTAGTTAGTAAATCTAAATTAATTATTGAAAGCTGTCTACTAAATGTGTAATAGATGTAATGGTCAAGATAACAGGTATATAAACATTTATTGCATATTACATACATAATACCTTAACCATTAAACACACATTCACACACACCCTTTTTATTTATTTTGTTGTTGTTGTTGTTGTTGTTGTTGTTGTTGTTGTTGTTGCTGTTGTTGCTAAAATTGTGTTTAGTTTTTCAATTAAACTTTTTCAATATTTATTTATTTGTTTTAAATGATGACACATTTGGCAGAAGGTCAGTCATTTGGGTACAAAATGCTGGGTTGCTGTAAAATAACGTTAGGTGGAATAATGGACAAACCAAACCATTGTCTTAAAACATGTCATTCATATTCAATTGAAAAAAACTTAACCCTTAATGGTTGGGTTTGTCCACTATGACCCAGCATTTTTAGAGTGTATAGTTCAACAAGCTACGGTTACGCTGTAAAAATATCTGTAAATTAGCTTTTTTTCTGTGTTTTATGATTTTTTATTATTATTTATTCACACTTTTGAGCTAAATTTGATGTTTAAAAGTTAGAAAAAGTGATTTTTATTTACAGTTTTAATAATTTTCTGGGATTGTGTTGTAAATGATGGTACAAAAACCTGGTCATAATACATTTTCTGTTATTGTACAGATTTAAGTTTCTCTATATATTATTTTCTATAGATTATATTATTTTAAACTACTAAAATGTCAATAAAAGTCACTTTGTTAAACTGTACACTACCTGACAAAAGTCTTATCATTGATGCCAGTTGTAAAAGCAACAAATAAAAACTTGACTTCTAGTTGATCATTTGGAAAAGTGTCAGAAGGTGGATTTCTCTGCTGAATCATCTGTTGATCTGCATCCCAATCATCACAAATACTGCAGAAGAGCTACTGGAACCCACATGGAGCCAATATTCTCAGAGAAATTAGTCAAGTTTGATGAAGGAAAAGTCATGGTTTGGGGTTACATCCAGTATGGGGGCGTGCAAGAGATCTGCAACATCAACAGCCTGAGGTATCAAGACATTTGTGCTGCCCAATACATTACAAACCACAGGAGAGGGACAATTCTTCAGCAGGATAGCGCTCCTTACCATACTTCAAAGCTACTGAAGGTCAAGGTGCTCCCGGATTGGCCAGCCCAGTCACCAGACACAAACATAATTGAGCATGTCTGGGGTAAAATGAAGGAGGAGGCATTGAAAATGAATCCAAAGGATCTTGATGAGCTCTGGGAGTCCTGCAAGAGCGCTTTCTTCGGCATTCCAGATGACTTTATTAATCAGTGATTTGAGTCAGAGATGTATGGATGCAGTCCGCCAAGCTCATGATGAAGTCAGACACAGTATTCATTCTGTCTCCACTGCAGCAGGACTTTATATTCTATACTGGACATTATTTCTGTTCAGTCACAAGACTTTAGTTTGAGCAAAGTCAGACCTTACTGTCCTAATTAAATCATTAATAATCTGAGCATGTACATATTTTATTGTGGTCAAATAAGCGTAATCTTGAGGCCTTTACCTTTCATATCAGCCACTTTTGATACCAAATGATCAACTACAAATCAAGTTAGTTGACAAAAGCTTAAATAAATGGCACTTAATGCAATTTATAACCGTAAATAAAATACAGAACTTGTTAATTAACAGATATTTTACAGTGTATGAAAAAGTATATATTTTGCTGGGGTTTAAAAATGAGGATTTTCAATTCGAAAACAAGATTATGTTGCATGTTTAAAGAAAAAAATCTCTTAAAGGGACAGTTCACTCAAAACCTTCATGAGTTTCTTCTGTTGAATACAAAAGAAGACAATTTGAGAAATGTTAGAAACCTGTAATCATTGACTTTGATAGTTTTAATTTTTTCTCCAATGGAAGTCAATGGTTAGCTTTTCAACATTTTTCAAAGTATCTTCTTTTGTGTTCAACAAGAAAGAAACTCTTAACGGTTTGAAACCGTTTACACTGTAAAAATTCTGGTTGCCTTAATATTTTAAGCTGAATCAAATTAACCTTATGAATCCATTGAACTTATTATGACTTCAAACAGCTTGTGTAACTTATAAAATTAAGTTAGAACATGATCAACTTAGTTTAATAAGTTACCACTAAAAACATATGTTGTCATGACTAATTGATTAAAGAAACAATTACAGTGTAGCCGATTTTTAATGAAAAGGAATTGACCCAACCTTGAACCTAATAGTCTCCCAGTACCTCAGAGGGTGAGATGTTGAAGACCTCTGCTATTTTGGCGTAGAGCTCCCTGACGTTGGTGAAGCCGTGGATGCGTCCGGTCGGGCTGCCGTGCGCCAGCTGCGTGTGAAACACCAGTTTGGGCCTGGGGCAGGGCGCGGCGTCCGGCGGCAGCGGCGGGGCGGACGGGACAGTGCTCTGGCTCTCCTCGTCCCCTGGGGGACCCGTGGAGTCCTGCGGGCCGGGGCTCATGGCCTCTCCGTTCTGCATGGGCTGGAGGTTCTGGGAGTCCTGCTGCATCTGAGCGTCCATCACGTCTGCCGGCCTCAATTAAAGATGAGCGTCTCCCGGCAACAGGACACGGCCGAGCGCTGCCGGAGGACACCTGACACCTGCACACCGACACTGGAGAGCAGACGACACCTGAAGAAGAAGAAGAGGAGGAGGAGCTGCCCGCCATCTGTCCCTATAATGAGAGTAACAGCACATTCACTCACCTGTGCAGGACGTTAGAGGTGCGCTGTCACTTTAAGAGCCGTTCACATCTATCTATCTATCTATCTATCTATCTATCTATCTATCTATCTATCTATCTATCTATCTATCTATCTATCTATCTATCTATCTATCTATCTATCTATCTATTAGTCTGTCTGTCTGTCTGTCTGTCTGTCTGACTGCCTGCCTGTCTATTCATTCATCCATGCAACTGTCATTCACCCATCCATCCATATAACTGTCTGTTTGTCTGTCCGTTCACCTATTCATCCGTCCATCTATCCAATAACATGCATTGCATAGATAGATAGATGGATGGATGGATGGATGGATGGATGGATGGATGGATGGATGGATGGATGGCAGGAAGGATGGATGGATGGATAGATAGATAGACAGACAGACAGACAGACAGACAGACAGACAGTTGCATGGATGGATGGATGGATGGATGGATGGATGGATGGATGGATGGATAGATAGATAGATAGATAGATAGATAGATAGATAGATAGATAGATAGATAGATAGATAGATAGATAGATAGATAGATAGATGGATGGATGGATGGATGGATGGATGGATGGATGGATGGATGGATGGATGGATGGATGGATGGATGGATGGATGGATGGATGGATGGATGGATGGATGGGTTGATGGATAGATGGGTTGATGGATGGATGGATGGATAGATAGATAGATAGATAGATAGATAGATAGATAGATAGATAGATAGATAGATAGATAGATAGATAGATAGATAGATAGATAGATAGAAGGATGGATGGATTCATGGATGGATGGAAGGAAGGATGGATGGATGGATGGATGGATGGATGGATGGATGGATGGATGGATAGATAGATAGATAGATAGATAGATAGATAGATAGATAGATAGATAGATAGATAGATGGATGGATGGATGGATGGATGGATGGATGGATGGATGGATGGATGGATAGATAGATTCATGGATGGATAGATTCATGGATGGATAGATAGATTCATGGATGGATGGATAGACAGATAGAAAGATGGATAGATGAATGCGCGGATGGATGGATGGATGGATGGATGGATGGATGGATGGACAGAAGGACAGACAGATGGATAGATAGATAGATAGATAGATAGATAGATAGATAGATAGATAGATAGATAGATAGATAGATAGATTACACTGTCTTCAATCTGTGATAGGAATGAACACAAATTTTCTGTCGTTCCTTGCGGTTGTAGTACTTCAGATTGCATGCGTAAACATTTTTGGATGGTACAACAATACAATTCCTGCCTTGTTTTGTAATCCACTTCGAGCTGTTCGTACATGTGAAAATACAGACATTGTGTTGCAGTTGTAAGTCCTCTTACGTGGTTGCGTTATCATCAAAGGAGGATGAGGTACAGTTTGTGCTGTTGACGTAACTGAAACGCTGCACATTTGGCTCTCGATGATAGTCGGTTGGGAAAAGCTGTAATGGTTGACATTGCCACATCGCTTTACCACTGCCATATACAACAGACTTTTTTTAAAATATGATGAACGATTTTTAATAATACAAAATATAGATTTTTTTCCTTATTATCTTTTATTTCTTTCATCTATTATTATATCTATTATAACTGCATATGCTCTTTGCAATACTACAACCGCAGCGAACTTCATCAAATTTGTGTTCATTCTCATCACAGATTGAAGACAGTGTAAGGGTGGTAAAAGTAAAATTACATAGTGATGTAGAGGAAAATGCACTAAAACTTGTTCAGTGTGTTATGGATGAAATGTGTGTTTTCGGAATGAGCATTGTTGTCGTTGGTTTGCTGAATCTGTTATTTTGAGCTGTATGTGAACTGCAGTGTTGCTCTGAGTGAGTTTGGAAGGTAAACTGAAGGGTTTGATCATGTTGGTATTAAACAGTGTGTGAACAGATCTGAAAGCTTGGCTTCAGTACTGCAGAATCATAATGAATCTATCCATCCATCCATTTACCTGAGAAATAAATAATTAATAAATGAGAGATGGATGGATGAATGGGTGGATGGACAGGCAGACAGTTATACAGATAGATGTATATGGATGGATGGATGGACAGTTGCATGGATAGATAGATAGATAGATAGATAGATAGATAGATAGATAGATAGATAGATAGATAGATAGATAGATAGATAGATAGATAGATAGATAGATAGATAGATAGATAGATAGATAGAAAGTTGGATGGATGGATGGATGGATGGATGGATAGATAGATAGATAGATAGATAGATAGATAGATAGATAGATAGATAGATAGATAGATAGATGGACGGACGGAGGTAGGGATGGACGGACGGACAGATAGATAGTAGGACACATTGGTGGGTGGATGGTTGGATAGATGTATATGTGTTTTTGTGTGTTTGTATATGCGTGTGTGCATTTGCATGTGTGTTTGTGGATGTGTGTGTACATGTGTCTGTACATGTTTGTCTGTGCATGTGCACATGTTTGTGTGTGTGTATCCCCCCCGGTCCTACACCACCCAACCCGCTCCGAGCTGGGATCGAACCGGCGACCTTCCGCATGGGAGTCGGTTGCTCTAACAAGGAGGCTAAAGAGGAGTGAGATTTACCTGCACAGCACACACTAGCTGGCCTCCGTTACATGTGCACATTGGAATAAGTTTGTGGATGTGTGTACGCATGTGTGTGTATGTGTTTGTGTGTGCGCAAATGCATGTGTGTTTGTGGACGTGTTTGTGTGTGTGTGTGTGTATATTTGTGCGTGTTTTTGTGCATGTGTGTGTTGGTGTTTAAATATGTGTTTTTATGTGTGTGCACATTTACGTGTGAGTGTGTGTGTGTGTGTGTGTGTGTGTGTGTGTGTTTGTATGACAAAATATTTCAGTCTTGTTTTCTTGAAATCAATAGCTGTGAATAACATCTGAAGTCGATATTTGCCAAACACTGCCGTCAGTGTTGCTCTGCAGAACTGGAATGATGGAGTGTGTGCTGTTGAATGAGCATCCAGAGGTTTGAGAGCAAGATCTGTACTGCTTGTGCGCACACACACACACACACACACAGAGTGACACACTGCCTCTTCTGTTCAGTCTGACTGTAATCTGAGCCTGTGGGTCGAGTCCACGGCTTCCTCCACACACTGACTGTACACACACACACCAGCAGCAGCAGCTGTATGTTTTATGCATACAGGGGCGTGTGCGGGTCAAGATGTCATGTGACACAGTCATGTGAACATAACAGAAGCGATCACACCATTTCAAGACGAGTGTGGCGAAATACAATTCTGCCATTCGATTAGGAAATTATATGAAGCCGGAGGACAAAAAACAGATTATATAACTCACATTCACATTCTCACATTCTTTCAGTCTGACATTGATTGATAGATGCACTGATAAATAAACAGACAGATGGATGGATGGATGGATGGATGGATGGATGGATGGATGGATGGATGGATGGATGGATGGATGGATGGATGGATGGATGGATGGATGGATGGATGGATGGATGGATGGATGGATGGATAGATAGATAGATAGATAGATAGATAGATAGATAGATAGATAGATAGATAGATAGATAGATAGAAAGTTGCATGGATGGATGGATGGATGGATGGATGGATGGATGGATAGATAGATAGATAGATAGATAGATAGATAGATAGATAGATAGATAGATAGATAGATAGATAGATAGATAGATAGATAGATAGATAGATAGATAGATAGATAGATAGATAGATAGATAGAAAGTTGCATGAATGGATGGATAGATAGATAGATAGATAGATAGATAGATAGATAGATAGATAGATAGATAGATAGATAGATAGATAGATAGATAGATAGATAGATAGATAGATAGATAGATAGATAGATAGATAGAAAGTTGCATGCATGGATGGATGGATGGATGGATGGATGGATGGATGGATAAATGGATAGATAGATAGATAGATAGATAGATAGATAGATAGATAGATAGATAGATAGATAGATAGATAGATAGATAGATAGATAGATAGAAAGTTGCATAGATAGATAGATAGATAGATAGATAGATAGATAGATAGATAGATAGATAGATAGATAGATAGATAGATATATAGATAGATAGATAGATAGAAGGATGGATGGATGGATATGAATATCCTAGCATAATGCAGAAAATAAAACTGACAAGCGATAAATAATCCAGACTATGCAATCTGCGAATGTGCGTCATTCAAAAGCCACATGTGGTCTCAAAACACCTCTAGTGAATATCTTCAACAACACAGAACATGCTCAAACTTATGACCATAAGAAAGCATGTGAGGACAGTTAAAACACAAACACTGCTCTGTTACACAGACGCCATCGTATAATCACCCATACTCGCTCTCCACCCAGACTTCCTCCCCCTACCACGTTGCATACATACACGCGTCCTGTCCATATAAGGGGCGTGGGCGGAGTTCGAACTCGAGTGCCTCGCCGCGATTGGTCGCCGCGACTGATCAGATGCGCGCTGATTGGTCGGAAGCACTTGGTCCGATTTTGTCTCATTTTGTTAATCAGGCCGCGCTCATGGGACGCCGGAGAGAAACCGGATCATCACATCCTCGTTAAACGGTGTCTTTTAGTCGGTGCCTGTTCGGTTCGCAGAGGAAGAATGTTGGAAAACAAGAGGGAGAGGTTGAAAACGTTTCTGAGGAAGATCGACGAGAGCGCCATATCGCGACTCAAGCATTTAATGAAAGAGAGGTGAGCGTTTTTACCGTTATCAGCTGTCGACATCCGAGAATGCCCACATCCGCAGCTCATTTAAATATGCTAATATCACCTCCATATTTCATTTACAATCTGCTAACAGTGTTTGCTATGATCAGATTATGGATAAATGATGATTGCAGGTCTGATAGTTTTGTTTTATCGTTTTATAGTCATCATTGCTTGTTGCTGGCACGGTTA